TGATGTCTTTGTGTTTTAACTGTTGATTCTCTGATCTGTGTTGGTGATTTCAATGGTTTTGTTAAGTCCTCTGAGATTACATCTGTTGTGACATAGGGCTATACAAGAATAAATTGTATGTAAAATGTCATACAATTCAATGCTGTCAATGAACAGATGTATAACATGTATAATGGTAACAAAAAAGCCCTTTCAACTATCCTTTCTAAGTGATCAAAACGGTGTGAACAAAATCCATCCATGTATCCACAAGGAGAGTTGTCATCAGAGTATTTAGCATCCTGTAGTATTTAAAAGTGGATGTGCTACGGTGATAACACGTTAGTTCACAGCTACAATACACACACAATACTTAGGTCTTGTCAGTCGACCCACCACACAGAAGCTTGTTAACATCAATATGGGCATTTCGTGCTCCACAAACCAGTCGTCTCTTTCACAGCGAGAATACATGCTCAGGCTCAACAGGCAAAACACACACTAGCGGAGGAGGGAGAGTTCTGCTTCCTGTTTCTGATTTCTGTAGTTTTTCTAACGCTACTAACAGTGGCCACAGCTAAGAGAGAAACTACAAGTAAAGTTGTTCAGCAAATTGATCGCGCAGTAAAAAAAAAAACAAAAAAAAACAGAGTTTTATTGATTAGCGTTGACGTGTTAAAACGCGATTGTAGACACCACTCACTTTTTTGTTATTGATTTATCATTATACATCAATGCTAAAACTCTGAAATATCCACTCCAGTCATTGCACAATCACAAGTTAAAAGGACAAACTTGTTTCAGATGAAGACGCACACACAACTGTAGCAGAGTAGCTTGGTTGGATTCCATAATTCACATGTGCGCCTTACAATACCGGTAAATTACAAGTGTTTGGGAAATAAACAACAGTGCGCGAACCTGAGTCTCCTTACCCTTGTACCCAATGCGTTCTCCATCTTATATATTCCGGGAGGTTAAAAAAACTCCGCTCCAAACAGCGCGAGGACCCTGGTGCCTCACTGTCTACAGCCCATGCTAGCGGAGCTACAGCGCCCATGCTAGCGGCTACAGCGCGCCCACGCTTGGCTAGCGGCCTACCTAGCATCGAAACCCCACTCAAGCTAACTGCACTTCAACTCATTAGCTCGTATACACGAACAGCCTCCATAAAATAAAATACACGGGTCGCCCAATATGATTAAACAGCGTCTAAACCTTGGCTCGGACAAATGAGGCTTAGTGACTAGTCCATTGAAATCTTGACTAAATGTACACTAAAACTAGAGTTAAATGCATCAAGGAGGGAACGTGTACAAACGTAACATTTAAACAGAAGTTGTACAAGTGACAACATATTTCCAGCATTTACACGGGTGTTGTAAAACTTACCGTTCTCTCATTGAGTATGCCGACCTTCCTCCGTTACAGTACTTCGCCAAAAAATGGCGTCTGAAGAAAATAATTTGCGCCTTCACGAGGCTTGAGTCTCCTCCCCCATGGAAATGAAGGGTGTGGTCAAGTTTAACATTCACGGTGTAAGACCTGTCTTACAACGAATATCCACACCAACACTCACACCATAAGTGTAACTTTTCATCAATTAAGTGTAATATTAACTCTAGACGGTGTAAAATACAACTTACACCAGAAAATTAACACCGGCAGATTTGCTGTGTAGGGGTGGGAACCTCACGATATAACGATGCAGCGATTGATATATTGGTCAGAAATATACCTACAATAATTTATGCCATAGATAAAAGACAAATATTTAGTGAAAAAATACACTATTTCAAGAAAAATGGATAAAGTATCATGTGTAACATTAAAGTTAACAAGCACAAATGCCTTCTAACCTGCACATTTTAGTAAAAATACTGACATGCTTACATCCAATAAAATCAATATGAACATTCTACAGAAATGAAAGTGCATTTTGTAGACGTTATAAAGTTATAAAAACTGAAATCAAATTTGTTTATATTCTTTAACTTTGAACTAGCAGATTTTCCAGTAATTACTCACTAGGACATGAAGAATGAAGCTGCGTACTTCTACTTAGCAAAAGCATATTGATAATCGATTGCGTGAGAAAGAATCACGATACATCACCATATCGATATATTGTCACACTCCTAGTCGAGTCACCAAATCCCAAAACAAACCCACTTCAGTTCGGTGATCCCGGAGACTGCTCTAAACCTCTGTAGTAGAATAGAGTTCAGGGGATCTTACAGTAGTAGTCGTTCAGTCTGTGTGCGTCGCCTTCGCCGCTCTAGTAATTGTATCTCCTCATGGCTTTCTGTATCGAGCCATAACAGAGCAGTGAGCGGGCAGCATTCATCCTGCTCTGAGTCAAAGTGTGTGGCTCTACCTCTCTATGTTCTCTCTCTGTGTGTGAAAGGACATGGGAAGGAGTAAGGCTTGTCAGAAAATCGAGGCTTTTTGGAATGTCAACATGGGGCAAGAGCAGAGGTTTAGTGCAAACGTGAACAACAGCAGGAGATTGGTATTTTGATGGTTTATGTTGTGGGAGTTGTTTGTTCACTGTTAAAAATGATAAACTGTGAGGTAATTGTTTAAATCAAGTGTTGTTTTAAACTTAGTTTGAGTACATTCTGCGTTAAAAAGATTTGCCAATGGGACAAAGCCATTTAGTCTTATTTCATGGACTGTTTTTTTCTCATTCCAAGGGAGACGAGATAATTTAGCTTGTCCCATTGGCAAATCTTGTTTTTAAAGCAGTCAAAATGTGCTCAAATTAGGCATATTTTTTTGCCAATTTTAAGCAATTTTCCATCACTCTTTGCTTGTTTAAATTCCTCACCTTTTTTATTCACAATAGTTATATATATATATTTTTTAGGCGTTTACTCAATGATAATGTTCAAATTCAGGTTAAAAACATGAATGGACGATAATTTTCTTCTAATATACAGTAGTTTAAAATGTATCAAGAAATGCTGTCCTGTTTGTCATTTTTTGTTTACTAATATACTGCCTAAATTGATTTTTTTAATTGTTTTTTTTTTTTTAAATCAACTCTAACACATTGAATTACTTTTGTAATCGCTTTTTACAAACTTTACATTTGGAGAATTGATGGATTAAGAGCTACACTGCAAAAAGTCATGAAAAACGAGCCCAAAAAAATCCTCAAATTTGGCTAAAATCTATTTTAATTTGAGCACATTTTGACTGCCTTAAAACAAGATTTGCCAATGGTATGGTATGGTATGGTATTTATTTTTACAGGGACAGTGTACAGTAAACATTAGCCAAAGGGAGAGATGCTTTGTACCAGGTTGTAGCAGCAGTGCTAATTTTCACCTGTAGTCCCTGAACATGGGACAAAATGATCTTGTTACAAGAAATGTCTCCCTTGTGTGGCTTGTTTTACGACAGTCAGAATGTGCTCAAATTAAAATAAAAACCCTTCGATTCAAGCAATTATTACCTCATGTTGTATCATTTTTTGCAGTGTTAATGGTCTCTCTTTCAGAATGGCATGGCCGATCTTTACCATACACGTTGCTAATCAAAAGCCGTTCCTTGCTGTCAGAATGTGCATATCTCCAAAGCTGGGAACGCCTTTCGGGAATTGCACAAGTGTAGGAAAAAGCAGTGGCAGAAGGAGCGAGGTTCAGAGAGAGAAACCATTCGCAGCCAAACCAGCAGAGGGTTTTCTGACACGGCTCTGAAAACTCGCCATCTGCTCAGTCACAAGAAGAATGTGCTGCTTCCCCTTCAGGAGCGAGACTCGTTAATCCAAAGAATCATTCATAAAACTATGGATTCGTGTGACATTTAGCATGGCAGGTTACAAATGATACAAACAAATATGGATTTATGTTCAGCAAAGGATGAATCGTGATTACGGTATCGGCCACAAACCAGTAAAAGTCCATGGTTCTTATATGTAGCTAAACAAAATGGCAAATAATCAAATACCTTTTTACATTTTATGCACTAGTTTGACCTTTCTGCTAAGTGAAAAGCCGCAGCAATAGCTACAATGGATTGCAATGTGGTAATGATAATGCTAATGAAGGGTAAATTGAATCTTGAGTCTTGTCCTAACAATCATAATAGAAATATCCAACACTTATTTTTTCAGTTTATGACATTTCTGTAATTCATTATTATGGATAAACTGTATATGGTCGTTTCAGGTTCATGGTAAATGGCATTGTTTTGTGAATGGAAAGGGTTTTGTCGTGTTCTCTGTTCCCATTGTTGGTCCAAGAGAAATGCATCTGTCAAGAGACAAAGACTCCAAATCTATCTATAATGTGTTGTTTAGAAAGGAAAAGCCCTGTATGTAAACTCTACGCAGAAAAGGCTGAAGTGTCATAATGAATCACTAGATAAATATATACTTTATTGATCCCGTTAGGAGAAATCCAGGTGTCCAGAAGCAGCAGAAACGCATCCCTCCAAACAGACAAAACAAATACATATATTATTATAAAAGTAGATAAAAAAATTTATTAAAATACAACTGCAGCAGAGGTGGTGAAATGTGGGGAAATGTCAGTGTTGCATCACCAGTTACAGTAAGAATAAGGAACACAAACACATAATTAATGAACACGAACTCTACAAATCGCTAACTTTAGCATAATAAAGAAGCAAGTATAAGATGCTGTATATGTTCTAGTGCATTAAAATGGCATCTCTTAGGAAAAGTCTTGTCATATCGTCTGATTAATGTAGTACCAGACTGTTTCATTCATCTTGGGTTGAATTGGGACAGTGCACAGTAATCAACATGTGTTTTTTCCTCATGTAAATGTGCCAGTGTTAGCCATGTAGGCTAATTTTCATCTGTAGTCCCGTGGCAGGTTGATATCAAAACAGACAAAATACACATACAATAGGCACAAACACACAGACACACACCATCACAAAGACATAACAAAACAGGGGATGTAACATGTGGTAAAATAGATAAATTAGCTCAGATAATTAATTAGATTAAATAAATCCATTGATGGTTCTGATAACTTGACAAACCAATGTCTTCTTCATGTTTCTTCCCCGTCTTCGAGCTGTGGTGTTTAATAAAAGCCTGAGAAAATAACAATAACTGCTTTGATTTTACGACTTGTAGATCTAGACCTTAGTGTGTGTTTCCCTTCACAGCCGGAGAATCTCCTGCTGGCCAGTAAACTGAAGGGGGCGGCGGTCAAACTGGCGGACTTCGGTCTGGCCATTGAGGTGCAGGGAGACCAGCAGGCTTGGTTTGGTGAGTCCCCATCTCGGCTTCTCCATTTAACCGGATGTTTTAGTGCAAGCAATGCTAATGAAAAATGAATGAAAGATGAATAATTGACCAATAAGAGATCAAAAGAAAGGAATTATTATTGTGCATTAACAGTAACAGAAAAAAAACATACAAGGGACTTTATTTTTTGAGACCTAGGACATGCATTAGAAAATAAAATAAGTCCATGATGAGTATACACTACAAAAAATGATGAAATATGAGGTAATAAAAGCTTGAATCTAGGGTTGGGCGATATGGGCCTCAGCATGTACAGTATCACGATTTTTGTTGGTATGTATCACGATATGACGATATGATAATTTTAACAAAGCCTCATATAAAAGCTATATATAAAAACTTAGCACTGATAATTTTAAATACACTTGCCTCAAAGTGCATTTACTGATTTATTGGCAGCAAAATGTGTAATACAGCTATTGTATATAAAACGTATTAACAAAACTGAATTGTAGAGAATTCTGTTTTGTACATACTGAAAATTGCAGGCAACATGTAATAAAGGTGAACATTTGTAATTTGTAAAATATATAAAAGTTTGTCCTTTGTAATATAAAAAGTGTAGCATTATCAAATAATTATTTGATCACTTTGGCTTATGTTTCCTAATCCCAATATACTCAAAATGATCAAATACTGTATATATTTTTTGTATCCTTTTGCGTTTCTATAATTATGTAATTATAACTTATTTGTAATTATATTGCAATGTAGACAAACACATGCCATCCATCCATCCATCCATTTTCTACCCTTTAATCCATTTCTGGGTCAGGGGGGTGACAGTCAGAGATGCCACCCAAGTCTCATAGCACCAGCCCCCTGACAGACACATGCATTGAAGTAAAATGAATGACAGTAAACAGTAAATAAAGCTTACCAATGGCACTATGAGAGAGAGAGAGAGAGAGCGAGTGTCCGAAGCAAGCCACTCGAGTCCAGTTGTTGCAGCTGCTTTCACAACATTAGATCCACTGTCGATAGTTACACACAATTGCTTCTTTTTATCTAGTTCCCAAACTACTCCCATATGTTTGAGGTAGCTCCGCGTTTTGGCACAATGTCTTCTACAATCTGCATGTCTTCACCATGGTCTTCACCGCCGCCCTCAGCCATGTTTGCTCTCTGCTCTGTTGTTGTTGTCCCTGCACGCCGCTCTGCTACACGTGCCGCGCAGATGCATCATCAAAGTGCGCCGCACACAAACGTGTCTTCCGCTCGCTGTTTTCAGTGTTAAATGATCGTTTTCACCGGTATAAGGCATTTTCTTATCATTTAATTTACTTATACCGGTATACCGGTACAAAAAAAATATCGCCCAACCCTACTTGAATCGACTGGTTTTTATATTAATTTTAGTTTATTCTGACTGTCTTAAAAAAAGATTCACCAATGGGACAAAACTATTTAGTCTTAATTCAAGAAATGATGCTTTATTTTCTCATTCCAAGGGAGACAAAGATAATTTTGCTCATTGTCCCATTGGCAAATCTTGTTTTAAGGCAGTCAGAATCAAGATACATTTTGCCAACTCAATTTTTGACTTTTTTTTTTTCATCCCTTTCTGTAGTGTACCAACTCTAACCTCAATGTTAATAGACCAATTATTTTCAAATCGATATGGAATTGGTAAAAGTCGATTGTTTTGTTGCCTGTGTTTAAGGAGTGGCCTTGTTTGTGGTGCAGGTTTTGCGGGCACACCGGGATACCTGTCTCCAGAGGTGCTGAGGAAGGACCCGTACGGGAAGCCGGTGGACATGTGGGCGTGTGGTAAGAGGAGATATTTATAGAAACACAAATGCCACTGTGGGCGGCACGGTGGCTGAGTGGATAGCACTCTTGCCTCTCAGCAAGAAGGTCCTGGGTTCGAATCCCGGTCGGACCAGGGCCTTTCTGAGTGGAGTTTGCATGTTCTCCCCGTGTCTGCGTAGGTTTCCTCCGGGTACTCCGGTTTCCCCTACCACTAAAAATATGTCCAATAGTTCTAGAATGCACCTCCTGTACCGGCAACCCCGCTCCCATCTCTGTGTGGAGTGAGAAATAAATGCCCATAATTAACAATTGTAAACCGCTTTGAGACTCAGATCTGCAGTGAGAAGGCGGTATATAAATAAAGATTACTTACTACTACTACTACTACTACACTGTGACAAACAAAGAGCAGACATCACAGGGCTCTCACACACCGTAGGATCAGCACCGTCTATATCTGGGGGTCTCCAACCTCCCAAAGGAAAAGAAATGAACAAATCAAATGTATAGTAAATATTTATGGACATTGGTCTCTGCCCCTTATGGACCAATGGCTCTGTGTGTTATTATCATTGCATTTCTTGTGTTTGAACTGTTTGATTCTCTGATCTGTATTGGTGAATTCAACAGTTTTGTAAAGACATAAACACTGTTATGATTTAGTGCGGTACAAGAATTTATATATTCTTCACCTGCTCACAACTATTGTAAATGCAAATTTATTTAGTAAGGATTATGTGACAGGCATGCGTGTCGCGGACACAAGAGCGCGCCTCTTAAGTAACAAGCGTACAAGCGCTGAGAAATGAATGAATGAGAATGAAAGAAGGAAAAATGTGGCGTACGAGCAGAGCGACCGGAGACGGGTAGGATACAAGTGTGTGTTGGTGGGTTCTGGCGATTAAATAAAGACTGATTCTTGAATGCCTGAAGTATTATTGCAGCAGCACCACACTGAGAGCGAGGGTCAGAACAGAGGGAGTTATTCCCGTAGAAAACGCTTCCCTTTGGGTCTGCAGCGACACACCCCCCTGCGCCCCTAGACCACGGTCCGGGGGGTTATATGAAAGGTTTAACACAAGCGGAGAATACGAAAGTGCAGGAGAGACGTGTGTGAAAATGCGCCTCACAACGGAAGACGTAATGTGACGCACAATATCAAGTCCCCACCATACCTCATCCCCACTCCCCACCTCCCGCCACACTGACCCCCCTCATCTGGGCTTTACAACCATGCTCTGGCCCACCTATTTCAACCGCGCCAAAGCCAAGTTGCCGCGGTCACATAGCACCTAAAGCCTGGATCTAATCACGAAGTGGGCCCACTTTAACTGGGCTTTAGGGTGCGCATGTGACTGCAGCCTTACAGATATACTTAGATGGATAGATATTTGGATAGAAAGATACCTAGATAGACAGATACTAGACAGATAGATACTTAAATACTAGGATATATAGATAGATTCTTAGATACTTTGATCCTTTGAAATGCATCCATTCCTGCAAACAAAACAAATAAATACATAATTCTAAAATGTACTATGCTATACTATACTAAGAAATGTTATTGTCCCGAATTTTCCATGGGGCATTCTGACTATTCCATCCCGTCTACACCAAATTTCAGCTCAATCCGTTCACTAGTTTTTGCCCACAGAAGCGATTTCCTCTATCGTGGGTAATGACTGCTACTCTGTAATCAAGCAGGAGGATTGGATTTAAAAAAGCAAATCGAGTCAAAAAATGACCGCCTAGGATTGTGCATATATTTAAAGTGGTTTGTCAAATTTGTCTGCAAACCTGTCTGCTGTTATACAATGTGGTCATACTGCAAATGGCAAATAAACTGAATTTTGAAAGAGCAGAAACAAGTAAATATTGAGTTTATGGGTATGAGGTTAACCACCCAAATTGCTATATTTCATTTATTTCACACTATTTCACACTTAGGCCCTGTTTATACTGAGACGCTGCACAGACGTTTCCAGGCTATTAACAGAAACGACCTGGCTCCTAATGCAAATTTCTCTGCGTTCACATGAGGTTGAAAAACGATGTAGTTCTAGCGCCCGGCCAGTAGTGGGCAGAGAAACTTTACAACACTCAAACGACCCCCAGCCCCGTGCCCAGCCCACCTCCCGGCAGTGTACTCACTTCCTGTGCCAGACCCTCAGAAAGTACCAACATAAATTCTGCCTTTTAATAGCAGCTGTGAAAATGGAAACTGAACCTAGAGCTTTGCATGGTCTCGTTTGGACGAACGAAGGAGTAGAATTATCCTCTGTGCCGCGCTGGAAGCCCACGTAGTTACTTAGTGCGCGCGGCGCCATTGTTGTTGATGTTTGTTCTCCGCTACTGCGCATGTCCAAATTTACGTGCGGGGAGCAGCGCGGAGGCGGGGTTCAGAGCAGAGGGGGATTTCACACCTTTTCCCCTCTCGCGGGTGTGAAAGAGCTCCCCGCTGTGCAGCGTATCTGAGTTGTCCCACTCTACAGGCTGGATCTGAACACTTAAGTTTTCACCCCCCTGAAACACAGTCTTCGTATGAACTGTTGGTAGCAACCAACATCCAACTATACTGTTTTACTGCCACATTCTCTCTGTGTAAACTCAGCCTTAGTCCATGTCAGTATAATTGTCTATTTAGGGCTGCAGGTGTGTGGCAAACGACAAACAGTGTTGCGTACAGTCACTGTGTTGCTAATACATTATGAAATACTCACAGTGTAGAAATAATCCAATCTCTTTTATAATTACCATTTTATCAGGTCGCTGCCGTCATGCTATTACGTCGGACTTGGCGTAATTAAATGTGTGTCAGCCAATAGTACTGTAAAATGTCTTCTTTTTGCATTTCTTTTTGTATCTCACCCAATGATCCTTTTCAACGTGGCCCATTCCATTTAATTTCATATAATTCACTTATAATTATGTGGATGGATAATTTAAAATCCTGGGTCTTATCATAGATAATCTCATTGTTGTAATAATATTAGACTCTGTTCTGTCCAGAGAGAACCGTGGGTGTAAGTCTTGTGGGCCTTGTCTTTTTTTAATATCGCTATAATCTTTTAAAGGATTTGTGAAAGTACAAGGCACACTCTGAAAATAGTGCCAAATTCAAAGACTCAGTTCCGAGGCCATTTTTTTTGTTTTAACCACGATTACATCGCACTCAGAGCAGTTTTCTGAAAAAATACAAAAAAAATTTCGACTAAAATGCTCTGAACCAGTCTAGGTGCCAGTCTAGGTGCCAGTCTAGGTGCCAGTCTAGGGGCCAGTCTAGGGGCCAGTCTGAGGCCAGTCTGAGGCCAGTCTGAGGCCAGTCTGAGGCTAATTACATGGAAATGAACTGCAGTGCCTTGCGAAAGAACCTTTCAACATTTTATTTACATAAAGATGTAAAAATTAAATTTTTTGTCAAGAATCAACAAGTGGGACACAATCGTGAAGTGGAACGAAATTTATTGGATAATTTAAACTTTTTTAACAAATAAAAAACTGAAAAGTGGGGAGTGCAATATTATTCGGCCCCTTGCGCTAATACTTTGTAGCGCTAATACTTTGTAGCGCCACCTTTTGCTGCAATTACAGCTGCAAGTCGCTTGGGGTATGTCTCTATCAGTTTTGCACATCGAGAGACTGGAATTCTTGCCCATTCTTCCTTGCAAAACAGCTCGAGCTCAGTGAGGTTGGATGGAGAGCGTTTGTGAACAGCAGTCTTCAGCTCTTTCCACAGATTCTCGATTGGATTCAGGTCTGGACTTTGACTTGGCCATTCTAACGCCTGGATACGTCTATTTGTGAACCATTCAATTGTAGATTTGGCTTTATGTTTTGGATTATTGTCCTGTTGGAAGATAAATCTCCGTCCCAGTCTCAGGTCTTTTGCAGACTCCAACAGGTTTTCTTCCAGAATGGTCCTGTATTTGGCTCCATCCATCTTCCCATCAATTTTAGCCATCTTCCCTGCCCCTGCTGAAGAAAAGCAGGCCCAAACCATGATGCTGCCACCACCATGTTTGACAGTGGGGATGGTGTGTTCAGGGTGATGAGCTGTGTTGCTTTTACGCCAAACATATCGTTTTGCATTGTGGCCAAAAAGTTCGATTTTGGTTTCATCTGACCAGAGCACCTTCTTCCACATGTTTGGTGTGTCTCCCAGGTGGCTTGTGGCAACGTTAAACGAGACTTTTTATGGATATCTTTGAGAAATGGCTTTCTTCTTGCCACTCTTCCATAAAGGCCAGATTTGTGCAGTACACGACCGATTGTTGTCCTATGGACAGACTCTCCCACCTCAGCTGTATGTATCTGCAGTTCATCCAGAGTGATCATGGGCCTCTTGTCTGCATCTCTGATCAGTCTTCTCCTTGTTTGAGATGAAAGTTTGGAGGGACGGCCGGGTCTTGGTAGATTTGCAGTGGTCTGATACTCCTTCCATTTCAATATAATTGCTTGCACAGTGCTCCTTGAGATGTTTAAAGCTTGGGAAATCTTTTTGTATCCAAATCCGGCTTTAAACTTCTCCACAGCAGTATCTCGGACCTGCCTGGTGTGTTCCTTTGTCTTGTCTTGGTTCTCTCTGCGCTTTAAACAGAACCCTGAGACTATCAAAGAGCAGGTGCATTTATACGGAGACTTGATTACACACAGGTGCATTCTATTTATCATCATCAGTCATTTAGGACAACATTGGATCATTCAAAGATCCTCACTGAACTTCTGGAGTGAGTTTGCTGCACTGAAAGTAAAGGGGCCGAATAATATTGCATGCCCCACTTTTCAGTTTTTTATTTGTTAAAAAAGTTTAAATTATCCAATAAATTTCGTTCCACTTCACGATTGTGTCCCACTTGTTGTTGATTCATGACAATTTTTTTTTTAAAATATCTTTATGTTTGAAGCCTGAAATGTGGCGAAATGTTGAAAGGTTCAAGGGGGCCGAATACTTTCGCAAGGCACTGGACATATTGAAACTGAAAATTTCACAACATAGAGACCAAAAACGTACATAACCAGAGTAAGTACACCCCCAAGAGGAAAAGCTGTCAAATGTACTGCTCTGGGAGATCTAGTATTAATGTTAAAATGCTAGTATCCTTGGACAGTGTAGTGAAACGAGTACATGTATTGTGTATTTCCTGTGTGTAGAGCAGTCTCCCCTGTGCCTGTCCCAGTGGAGTGGTCCTAAACACTTGGCTGTTGCATTAATCAGCACTGATGCTCATTCTGCTCACTTCTAATGGAGCGGACCACCTGGGTCTCACACACACACACACACACACACACACGCACACATGACCTGTTTGTGTTCTGCGTCTGTGTGTGTGAGTTTTTAAGCCTGGGTACACACAGGAAGCGCGCCTGTGTGCGGGGGCGCCATCTTTCATCTTTGCCAGACAGCTGATCAAACGCAGAAATCAGGACAGAGATATTTTTCCCCCGTTTGGTGTGTGAATCCATCTATATTGTGCAGGAAAGTGGGAATAGAAATGTAAATATCCACAAATATGGTCTATATACTGTGCCCACTTTTTGCTCGTTTACTTTTTCGATCTAATTATAGCGTGGCGCCCTTTCCAGAATCAGTTCGATGGTTTCAGTTGATCTCTATATTTATAAAGCACAGATGTAAGGCCAATCCTCCAGCTTCTTACTCATGACCCAACTTTTGGTCCCCGTAGAGAACACAATCTATTGACGCCACATGCCTAGTCTTCTGTGTGAATGCATTTATATCCATATAATAACTTTACATTACATTTCTAAGCATTGAGAACAAGCCAATATAGAAAGTAAAGACAATATTAAATAAAAAAGTCAATGTGCTGGATAGGCTGCTACTGGTAAATGCCACTTCTCTGGTCAAATTAAGTGTCTGTCTATCTATAATATATTGTATCTACACTGCAAAAAATAACATATGAGGTAGTAATTGGTTGATTTGAGTGGTTTTTATCTTAATCTGAGTTCATTCTGCCGGTGTTAAAACAAGTTTTGCCAATGGGACAAAGCCATTTAGTTTTGTTTCAAGAACTGTTGCTTTATTTTCTCATTCCAAGAGAGACAATTTCTTGTATCTTTCTAAAACAAGATAATTTTGCATTGTTCCACTGGCAAATCTTGTTTTAAGGCTGTCAGGCATGTAAAGTTTTAGCAATTTTTGACTTATTTTTCCTCACTTTTTGCAGTGTGGAATCTTGATTTTCTCAGTGGGTTTAACGTTAAGGTAGAGTATGTCCTGTAAGAAGCGTTGATCTCAGCTCGCTCGTTTTTGTACTGGTTTCTTAGGTGTGATCCTGTACATTCTGCTGGTGGGCTACCCTCCCTTCTGGGACGAGGACCAGCACAAACTCTACCAGCAGATCAAAGCAGGAGCCTACGATGTGAGTGTATCTTTTAAAGGGTGGATGTTGTTTGTTGTCCAGTTTTTTTGTTTTGTTATAAACTGAACCTGAAGTTGGTTCATATGGCACTAACATGTCACAGATGTAGTTCGGTGCGAGGCCGTGGAGAGATTTGTCTACTCTCTGAGCCACTGATCTGAGAAGTGGACTAATGTGATGGTACTTCCTGGTTCCAGTTATGACTCTAGCTGCAGTATTTTGAATAAATTTCACCTTAAATAAGTATCAATCATTCCATCAGTCGACCTTTATTCATAGATGACACAAACTGCTTCATATCACATAAGACATACATATTCACATAAACATTAAAATTACACAGAATATTAGTAGTAATTATAGTCATTCAAAACAAACGTAAAAATCACACAAAGGATTAAAATCATATATAACCACAGTGTGGTTATATAGTGTGGTGATGGTGCTCGACCGGAAAAAGGTGCCTTGCCCTCTACAGGTGGGTGGAGAGGTCCTTCCTCAAGTGGAGGAGTTCAAGTATCTCGGGGTCTTGTTCACGAGTGAGGGAAGAATGGAGCGTGAGATTGACAGGCGGATCGGTGCAGTGATGCGGTCGCTGTATCGGACCGTTGTGGTAAAGAGGGAGCTGGGCCGAAAGGCAAAGCTCTCGATTTACCGGTCAATCTTTGTTCCCTCCCTCACCTATGGTCATGAGCTTTGGGTAATGACCAAAAGAACGAGATCGCGGATACAAGCGGTCGAAATGAGCTTCCTCCGCAGAGTGGCTGGGCGCTCCCTTAGAGATAGGGTGAGGAGCTCAGTCACACGGGAGGAGCTCTGAGTAGAGCCGCTGCTTCTCCACGTCGAGAGGAACCAGTTGAGGTGGCTCGGGCATCTGTTCCGGATGCCTCCTGGACGCCTCCCTGGGGAGGTGCTCCGGGCACGTCCCACCGGGAGGAGGCCCCGCGGAAGACCCAGGACACGCTGGAGGGACTATGTCTCTCAGCTGGCCTGGGAACGCTTTGGGGTCCCCCCGGACGAGCTGGAGGAAGTGTGTGTGGATAGGGAAGTCTGGGCGTCTCTGCTTAGACTGCTGCGACCCGGCAACGGATAAAGTGGAAGAAAATGGATGGATGGATGGATGGATAACCACAGTGCATTAAAAAGAGTTAAGATACAGCTAATGTAGGTATTTTCCCTAGATATCTGACCTTATTCAAAGGTTTTGGGGAGAGAGACTGATGTTGACAGATGAGTTTTGTCTGAGTTTAGCTGAAGAAAGTTAGTAAATAGTGTTCTCCCTCCATAACTCATCGTCGCTTTCCCCGTTTCAGTTCCCTTCTCCAGAGTGGGACACTGTGACGTCCGAGGCCAAAGACCTGATCAACAAGATGCTCACCATTCACCCGGCCAAGAGGGTTACAGCCACAGACGCCCTCAAGCACCCCTGGATCTGCGTACGGCTCTCCATACAACCAATAACGTCCATATTTACTATTGGCACAGGACTAATGCGACTTGTGTCTTTGTGTCCATAGCAACGCTCCACTGTGGCCTCCAGTATGCACCGGCAGGAGACCGTGGACTGTCTCAAGAGGTTCAACGCCAGGAGGAAACTAAAGGTAAATGTTTGTGGTTTACAGGTCACTACCACTGGGACCCTCAGGTGTAGAACATGGCTATTACATGATGACATAGATATAAAACATTATGAGAAGATGCGGCCCATATTATAAACTACTAAAAAATCCACCGGACCTACTTGGCTTTACTTTACTCTGATCGCAAAGACTGCAATGATGTACAAGTCCAGTAATCTAGAAAATAAAAATCTTGCAGTGATAAATTAGTTACATGAATTAGGGGGGAATGATGGGGTTATGTTTTGTTATTATCTTCATAGATGAGCAATACAATATCAACAGATGTCAGCATATACTGACGCACACACAGGGAGAACTTATCCTAATTTGAGTATTTGTTGAAGGCCTGAGATGACCATTTTTTCTCAAGTCCAAAACTTCATTATGAACCCACTATAATGACAAATGTATGCTTCAACCATAGACTGTATATAGATCGACAATGCTAACACGCTAGCTCAACGAAGCACAAAAATCTTACTGACAATAAAAAATTAAACTCCTCTTGCTCAGTAACCGTTTGTGCCACACTCACCATTTTGGACCTCATAACTCGGCCCTCACTACCAACAAATTGTTCTTCAATTTGGCTCCACCTTCCAACTCAAATGGCCTGTTGGGGCTAGCTCTAAGCGGTCTTGTTAGCATTAGCACTCGGGCAGTCCATTCCACTCCCATTGTAAGGTCTATGGCTTATACCTAAACAATTTTTAAACTGCAAAAGCGCAGATCTTTGCTATGAGGTGCAGTTTCATTCCCTAAAAAGATTCGGATCACCCTAACCCCATTCAAAACTCCATTCTGCCCTTAACTGTTTGAGTTATGTTGCTAACAAGCTAACAGGCTAACAAACCCCAGTGGAAACATAACCTCTTTGGCTGTGATAATCAAAGCATTGCCTTTTACACACACGCACACCTCTACTCTCTGCCCAATATAAGCAAATCATAGCAGTTCTAGTTTTCTAAATGACGAAGCTGCATCATATTCTTTGGTTATTTATTCGGGGGAAAAAGTCATTTATGGAGAACAATCTTCTAATGGCGTCTGCTTTAACCTAATCAGAGAGAGCGCGACGAGTGTGGTGATTGCATTGTTGTCTGCCGCGCACCACGGGAGACTCCCCTCCGTCTCTGAACTTATGAAATGTTAAGTGCCAGCCGTGAGCGATGAGGCCCCATGCATTTTCAATGAGTTTTAAATAACTTTGGGTCGGAGGTTGCTTTGTGTTCGAGTTTTATAACTTCTGGCCATGATTCAAAATACATTCCATTAGAAATCTGAAGGGAAAACACACAACGGCTACTCTCACCAGGCGCGGGCGGACGGAGAATCGGTTTGAGCCATTTTTAGACTTGTTTTCACTCAGACGTCTCCTCAACCTTGTCTTGTTCGAAGATGCACTATGTAACTATACTGGTGGTTGGTTTTTTCTTCATGGACAAGCTTGTACTTTGCTCACAATATAAGGCTAACTTACTGCACAATAGTATAGAGAGGGGATGCATTCAGATAAAGTGAGCAGTAATCTGAATGTATTATATAAAGAGCCTATAGTTCAAAACAATGGTCACCGTCAAAAGACATAGTTCAGAGCTAATTTCTCTAATTCCTGGGCCAATCCACAAACAACTCTAATTTTCCACATCCTCTTAGTCTAGTTTAGTACATAGATTGATGGATAGAAAAATATAGATAGATAGCTTATTGTTCCTCGTTGTAGAAATTCAGGTGTCCAGCAGCAAAAACGCATCCATCCTAGCAATAGATTACGTAATTCTAAAATGACAATAGTAGTAGTTAATATATGGTCTATTTATTTCATCATAAAGATGTCTCGTGGTGTCTAAGTGGTGACTATATCTCAAAAACGTATGCATGATGTTGAGAAAGGATTTTCGGACATAAAAGTTGTAATTTTTGTCACTATCCAACAATGATTTGGGAAAACATTTGGATATTGATTTCTATTCCACAATATCCTACAAAAGTTCTCAAATTAAGATGCGTTTAACCAAATATAAGTACTTTTTGCTGTGTTGTACTGTAGTCTCGAACATTTTAGAGGTTAGATACCCCAGCTTTAACTATGACAGACATTGTGACCTCTGCTTTAGTAAGAACATAAACTTATGAAGAAGCAGCGATGTATATTTTGCTTTCATTGATGCAGTCGTGTGTATATTTGTTAAATGCTTTTATGTATGCACTTACATTAGAAAGCATTACAAGTTTACACAAGATCTTACCGTGAAATCCGTTTTAATGAAGGACGGTCCATTCATTCTTTGGTAAAGCCTCAGCTCTTCTAATGTACCACCAGTGCATTAGACCTCCATATCATTTATTCCTCATTAGCGTTTATGGATATTGCGCACTTTAGCTGATGTCTGCCGGCTTAATGCATGTGCACCCGGCTCCCTGGTAGTAAGGCCCCACAGAGCTGCTGGAGAGAGACCAGAGAGAGACCAGAGAGAGAGAGGCCTTTTTGCACAATCTTAAGTGTTTCTATCCATGCTAGATGTGACATGTAAATTTCTCCTTTGTGAGATCAATAAAGTATATCTTATCTTATCTGAGAGACCAGAGAGAACAACCGGAAAGAGAGGCCAGAGAATGAGAGAAAAGAGAGAGACCAGAGAGAGAAAGACTGGAAAGAAAGGCCAGAGAGAGAAAGACTGGAAAGAAAGGCCAGAGAGAGAGACCAAAGAAAGACCAGAGAGAGGCCAGAGAGAGGCCAGAGAGAGGCCAGAGAGAGGCCAGAGAGAGGCCAGAGAGAGGCCAGAGAGAGGCCAGAGAGAGGCCAGAGAGAGGCCAGAGAGAGGCCAGAGAGAGGCCAGAGAGAGGCCAGAGAGAGGCCAGAGAGAGGCCAGAGAGAGGCCAGAGAGAGGCCAGAGAGAGGCCAGAGAGAGGCCAGAGAGAGGCCAGAGAGAGGCCAGAGAGAGGCCAGAGAGAGGCCAGAGAGAGGCCAGAGAGAGGCCAGAGAGAGGCCAGAGAGAGGCCAGAGAGAGGCCAGAGAGAGGCCAGAGAGAGGCCAGAGAGAGGCCAAAGAGAGGCCAAAGAGAGGCCAAAGAGAGGCCAAAGAGAGGCCAAAGAGAGGCCAAAGAGAGGCCAGAGAGAGGCCAGAGAGAGGCCAGAGAGAGGCCAGAGAGAGGCCAGAGAGAGGCCAGAGAGAGGCCAGAGAATGAGAGAGACCAGAAAGAGAGGCAAGAGAGGCAAGAGAGAAAGACTGGAAAGAGAGGCCAGAGAGAGACCAGAGAATGAGAGAAATGAGAGAGACCAGAGAGAGACCAGAGTTAGAGAGATGCCATAGATGTTTTCTAGATAAGACAAATGCGACATTCCTCCTCTCAGCCTTTTTAACCGTTTGTCTCCCTCGTCTGTGTCTCCCCAGGGTGCCATCCTGACCACCATGCTCGTCAATCGCAACTTCTCAGGTACAATAACACCATGTGCTTTGCTCTTTTGTGTCTGCCATTTTTACCTCTTTATTGACGGCCGTAGTCTGAAAAGGGCACGCGGTTCAAAATATCGACTCCGCCAAAGCCAAGCGCCATCGATTGCGTGAGCTCATAGGGACAAATGGCAGAAGCAGCAGTAATGGAGTTTTACAAAGATGGCCGTGTTTTTGTTTGAAACTTTCACTGTTGTGTTGACGTGGCGTTGACTTTTTGTGTTTTTCTTCCTCCCCCTTGGTCTCGTTTGGTGTCTGGTGTGAGGTAAGTCTTGTGACGAAAGCATGGCCTCGCGTTTAATAGATGAAGTGATTGGGTGGCGGCCATATTGGAACTGGAAATTTTTGGGGTTTTTTGTTTGAAGTGGGTAAACTACAGGTGAAACTTTGAAAATTAGAATATCGTTCCAAAGTCCATTTACTTACAGTATATAACAGACTTTTTACGTGCAAATTTAGATCCATCAAGTTATTATTTGTTATATTGTTGATAATTATGACTCACAGTTGTAAAAACACCAAATAAAACATCTAAAAGAATGAGGATGTAAGCCACTATTATCAACATTATATTAAACAAGGCTTGGCATGTGTCATTGAGTCTGTATCATGAATTGGTTTTGCTTTTAATTTGAATGACAGAATTTTCACCATTCACCAGTTGTGATCAATATTATACGGACACATACAAAAACCGCTAATCTACAGTTATACTGTATCTTTCTCATAATCAATTTGATTATTTATATTCACTTTTTATGTTTACATTTTCAATAGAGGATAAATAACGTCAGTTCAGATACTTTAAAGCTATAAACACATACAGTACATTGACCTGGCTTCGCACAAGCTGTTCTCTCTCTGGAATGGGTTCGACTAGTTGTCTATCTCCAAGATTCTGCACATTTTGTCTATTTCTTACAACAATTTAGAAAAAGTCTGGCACCTAAAGGGTCAAAATGCCGGGATTCCCACCATTCCAACATTTCCATTGTCAGTAATGATGTCGTCCGTGTTCCAATATGGCCCAGAGTACTACAGCCACCGCAAGCCTTCATCAAAGGAAATATTATTTAAAAATTGTGCATGTCCAAAAATAGGATTTGATTTGCATCATTGTGTTTGCAATGGGAGTGCTGTCAGATGGCAGCGGTCAGACAGAAGCCAAGTTGTTTTTTTTCTTATTACTTTGAATTTAAAGCAGATCATTTGTGTGTTTATGATTTAAAACTGTCGCTCCTTGGTTTGTTCAGCCCTCTGCTGACGACGGCTTCCTACAAACACTGTTAGGACTAATGTACAAGTCATTATTCTGCAATCAAACCTCAAGAACCCTTCAAGCTAGCTGTTCCCTGTGTACTTTACTAATACTTCTAATTGTCTGTTATTAGATCATGGAATAAATTATTTACCGCAGAGTTCATAAGAGCGCCGTGTTCCTGCTGCAATTCACTCTGTTTTGACTATTTTAATCCAATCTACCTTAAATGTTATTGAGTGAAAGCAAAGTTATTCTGAGAAATGTATTTCGACTTTAACCTTTTAATTTTCACTCCTTGAAGAAAGCAATGTAAATATTTCTACAATGTAGGCGAGCACTAATAATTAGTTTTTAAGTTTTTTTTAACCCCTAGTTTTTTATATTATAAGCCTTTACCAAATGGTTGAGTTGCAGTGTGACGATAAACTTTATTTATATAGCACATTATGTAAAACAAAATTTCACAAAGTGCATCACAGAGATAAAATGAACACATTTAAATATGCAGGTTTGCCAGTTTTGTGTTTAAAAAAAATGGAGGTAAAACATTATGCACAAAGTAAAAACAATACAAATATAATAACAATAACATATCAGTTAACAATTAAAATGTGATAAAATCAATAAAATACTAGTCTGTCTGATTTAAAAATAAAAGCAATAAAATAAAAATAAAACTGATAAAAACCAAGTGATAGAGATGCAACACTGAGGTAGATTTCAGTTCCAAGCCTCAAGTAGATTTTAGTAACTCAAAAAGTGATCCTATAAATGGTTGAGGGAACTAGTAAAGGGTTAAATTGTGTTTGTACTTTTACTAATTAATTGTACTAATTACTTAAAGCAGTGTTCCCCAACCTTTTTGAGCCGTGGCACACCTTTGTATTGCAAAAATCACACCACACGGCACACCAATTTGAACTCTACCGCCTTTATTAACAAGTCACGCAAAACAAATCTTTCCAATCATCTCACATCTCATTTTCAAGGCACACTAATAAACATCGCAAGGCCCACCAGCGTGCCACGGCCCACTGGTTGAAAAACACTGACTTAAAGGGACTGCATGTAGTTTGCACTCATACTAGTTTAATAAAGCAATTACAAACGTTTGCTAACCCTAACCCTTAATCCTCCTGCCTGTAGCACATGTAGCTAATTACAGATGCAAAAAACCTGCTGGGGTTAGCTACGGGTACGGACTTTGACATGTTATATTTGTTATTTTTGTACCCGCTTTTGTTTGAATAAATTAGTTTTTGTCATAAACATGTAGACTTAAGTGAATTTATAAAGGAACTGATTGTTATTGTTATTCTTTGACCACTCAGTGCATATTGCATACTTCCCCTTTAAGTACGCAAATACAATCCAAACTCTTCAATCCATCCAGCCAAAACGAATGGAAATTAATGAAAGATTCGACACATTTGTACCGATCCATGATTATTTTTCCCGTCTATTATCCCTAATTGCATGTTCCAAACTACTGATTCCCCAAGTCGCATTTCACTCTCAACTCGATTTGCATTTTTCCAATCCTCGCCGTCTCGCCGCATCCTCAAGCGGCCGCTCTAGCCTTGAAAAAACACGTTATTGGAAAGAAAAAAAAAACACCCATATTTATCTGTCTCTGCTTTGTCTCCTTTCACCTTACAGTAGCCAAGAGCCTCGTCAACAAGAAGCCAGACAGTGTGAAAGTAAGTCCCCCTTCTCTCTCCTCACTCTCGCAATCAGAAAAGTTGCCTGGATCTGTTCTTTGTGACATCGGCACTGCTAATTATGCATTGTCGCACTGAGAAGGAGCTAATAAGTGCTGATTGCGAAGATGATTGGCGGGTGGCTGATAGGCTTCATCATTCAGACTGAAATTAAAGTCCCCTCGGAGAATAATATATGGTGTCGTCGTGTCTGCGTGGGGCAAAAAATCACTCATTGGACTTTGAATAAGGCTTTGAAATTGTATGGTTTTTTTCCTACCTGGATTCTCATTATTTTAAATGTACTGGGGTTATATGCTTTTACTATGATTTTAATGTTACCTTGGTTTTTTTAGGGAGAGAGACTAGAGAGAGAGAGACTAGAGAGAGACTAGAGAGACCAGGGAAGAGAGAGGGGCCAGAGAGCGGGGCCAGAGAGCGGGGCCAGAGAGCGGGGCCAGAGAGCGGGGCCAGAGAGCGGGGCCAGAGAGCGGGGCCAGAGAGCGGGGCCAGAGAGCGGGGCCAGAGAGCGGGGCCAGAGAGCGGGGCCAGAGAGCGGGGCCAGAGAGCGAGGCCAGAGAGCGAGGCCAGAGAGCGAGGCCAGAGAGCGAGGCCAGAGAGCGGGGCCAGAGAGCGAGGCCAGAGAGCGAGGCCAGAGAGCGAGGCCAGAGAGCGAGGCCAGAGAGCGAGGCCAGAGAGCGAGGCCAGAGAGCGAGGCCAGAGAGCGAGGCCAGAGAGCGAGGCCAGAGAGCGAGGCCAGAGAGCGAGGCCAGAGAGCGAGGCCAGAGAGCGAGGCCAGAGAGCGAGGCCAGAGAGCGAGGCCAGAGAGCGAGGCCAGAGAGCGAGGCCAGAGAGCGAGGCCAGAGAGCGAGGCCAGAGAGCGAGGCCAGAGAGCGAGGCCAGAGAGCGAGGCCAGAGAGCGAGGCCAGAGAGCGAGGCCAGAGAGCGAGGCCAGAGAGCGGGGCCAGAGAGCGGGGCCAGAGAGCGGGGCCAGAGAGCGAGGCCAGAGAGCGAGGCCAGAGAGCGAGGCCAGAGAGCGAGGCCAGAGAGCGGGGCCAGAGAGCGGGGCCAGAGAGCGGGGCCAGAGAGCGAGGCCAGAGAGCGAGGCCAGAGAGCGAGGCCAGAGAGCGAGGCCAGAGAGCGAGGCCAGAGAGCGAGGCCAGAGAGCGAGGCCAGAGAGCGAGGCCAGAGAGCGAGGCCAGAGAGCGAGGCCAGAGAGCGAGGCCAGAGAGCGAGGCCAGAGAGCGAGGCCAGAGAGCGAGGCCAGAGAGCGAGGCCAGAGAGCGAGGCCAGAGAGCGAGGCCAGAGAGCGAGGCCAGAGAGCGAGGCCAGAGAGCGAGGCCAGAGAGCGAGGCCAGAGAGCGAGGCCAGAGAGCGAGGCCAGAGAGCGAGGCCAGAGAGCGAGGCCAGAGAGCGAGGCCAGAGAGCGAGACCAGAGAGCGAGACCAGAGAGCGAGACCAGAGAGCGAGACCAGAGAGCGAGACCAGAGAGCGAGACCAGAGAGCGAGACCAGAGAGAGAGATTATGTGAGGCGCAGCCAAATCCAACATATTTCCGTCTCTTGTATTCTGACTTTTTGTGTTGCTGTTGTGGCTCTGCTAATATTAGCATCAGAAAATGGGGTGATTAATTTGATTCCAGACTGTTTGTGATTTTGTCGCCACAACTTTGTGCTTCAATCTTGAACAGAAGTGAACCTCTCCCGTAGTTAGACTTGCATTGTGGATTTGAGTTTGGATTATTGTGATTGTTTCATCACATTGACTCGAATCTGTTTTGTGGGTGTGGTAAAAATTACATTAAAAAGTCCTAGCTTTGTTTTGAATGTTTGAACATAAACCAACATGAATTAAATAATTCTACTGTATTTTCTTGCATATAAGGAAGCTAAGGAGCTATAAAGTCCTGCCCTCTGCTATCTGCAATCGGCTTCTGGAACATGACCGTTTCAAATAGAAATATAGGTTTTGTGGATATTGTGGCAGATCAGAGGTTTTTTCAAACTATTAGATGTATTAGTAGTAGTCATCTCGGCTAAGTTTCTATCCCTATATTCTGCTCCTGAAGTGAGATGGACGGGCACTTCCTAGCTCCTCACTTCTACGCCCTGTGCGCAAATGCCTCCTTTCTCTGTCCTTTTTAAGCTTTCTAACATTTTTCCTTCCACAGCAGCTGAATCCAAAGTCCTTCTCCTTTCTCTTCTGTGTTTGTCTCATGTCCAACTCTGTCCCCCCCAGATCAACAACAAGACCAATGTAGTGTGCACCCCCAAAGAGCTTCCTGTGCTGGTACTCCGCCTGCTTCTCCGTCTGTCTGTTTGTGCATGTGTTCTGTGCTCTAGATGGATGCTAATGCTAGAGCTAATGCCTGGATGGTGTTAGCGGCTAGCGTCCCTGCACAAGGGCTAGCGAGCTACATCCTCTGTTGTTGTTGTTGATGGGAATGGCCAAAGCGGTCATTGCATGTTCTTATATTTTGGCTATGGGAATTCATGTCTGTAACTCTGCCCCCTGATCACTCCCGAAGGCGTCGCCCCATTGGTTGGAAGTTTTAGGCTTTGTGAAATGTAATTGATGTTGGTCTAGTATGGCTAATGAACTAATGAGGGGCCTGTAGAATCAATATCTTTCTACTACATGTAACTTTGCATTAACATCTAAGTCCAGGTTGTCAAGAAAAAATACTTGCAGACATCACCTTTAAAGCAGTGGTTCTCAAAATGGAATGACTTCTAATAGGCAAGGCAAGTTTATTTGTATAGCACAATTCATACACAAGGCAATTCAAAGTGCTGAACAGAACAAGAAAGCATTAAAATCATAAATAATCACGGTACATTAAAAAGATACAAATATAAAATCCCTCAGTTGTATGCACAGCTAAACAGAACTGTCTTTAACCTTGTCTTAAACATTGTCAGAGAGGAGGCCTGTCTCACATCTTCAGGAAGACTGTTCCAGATTTTAGCAGCATGAATCTGAAAAGCAGCCTCCCCATGTTTAGTTCTGACTCTGGACACTAACAGGAGTCCAGTCCCTGTGCTCCTCAGAGTCCGGGCTGGTTCATATGGGACTAACATGTCACTAATATAGTTTGGTGCGAGGCCATGGAGAGACTTGTACACAAGCAGAGCTGTTTTAAAGTCTATTCTCTGAGCCACAGGAAGCCAGTGCAGAGACCTGAGGACCGGACTAATGTGGTCGTACTTCCTGGTTCTAGTCAGGACTCGAGCTGCTGCATTTTGAATGTACTGCAGCTGTTTTACAGCCTGTTTGGACAGACGTGTGAGCAGGCCATTGCAGTAGTCTAACCTACTGGAGACAAATGCATGGATAAGAATCTCCAGGTCTGCTTTAGACACTATGTTTTTGATCCTGGCAATGTTTTTTAGATGGAAAAAAGCTGCTGATGTTACTGATTTGATGTGGCTATTAAAATTTAAGTCTGAGTCCAGTATTACCCCTAGATTTCTGACCTTGTTTGAAGGTTTTAGGGAGAGAGACTGTAGGTGACAGATGACGCTCTCTCTTTGTTTCTGGGGACCAAAGACAATCATTTCAGTTTTGTCTGCGTTTAGCCATCCACTCACTGATCTGTTGGATACAGTGAAGGAGTGAGTCCACTGGTCCATGTTCTCCTGCAGTCAGTGAGACATAGATCTGAGTGTCATCTGCATAGTTGTGATAGGACACTTTGTTTCTGCGTATTAACTGACCTAACGGCAGCATGTAGAGATTGAACAGAAGAGGTCCCAGGATCGACACTCCACAGGTCAGGGCCATTCTCCAATCTCCACAAAGTACTTCTGTCTTCAAGGTAAGACCTAAACCAACTTAGGGCGGAGCCAGCGACGCCAACCCAGTTCTCTAGTCTCTGTAAGAGGATCTCATGGTCGACAGTGTCAAAGGCAGCACTTAGATCTAACAAGATTAAGATTGAGACTTTGCCTGCGTCAGTGTTCAGCCGGATATCATTTGTAACCTTGACGAGAGCAGTCTCAGTGCTGTGGTGGGGTCTAAAGCCGGACTGAAACATATCAAATGAGTTGTTAATTATAAGAAATCTAGTAAGCTGTAGGTAGACAACTTTTTCAAGGACTTTCCCCATAAATGGCAGATTTGAGATGGGACGATAGTTGTTAAGTACCGTAGCATCCAGACTGCTCCTTTTTAGCAGGGGCCTGATGACTGCCGTTTTCAGGGCCTTTGGGAATATTCCAGAATGAAGGGACATGTTTACTATCTGTGTGAGTGAAGGTAACAGACTGCTCAGAACGGACTTCAGAAATCTAGTGGGTAGTACATCCAGGCTGCATGTGGAGGAGCTCAAACTGGAGATTATCTCTTGGACAGTTTTATCATTTACAGGTGCAAAGTAAGTTAGCTCAGAGAGCCTTTCTGGCTGTTGGATGGTTATCTGTGGATTGGAGACAATGGCGTTTTTGATGCCTTGAACCTTGTCATTGAAAAAGTGTGCAAACTCATTGCATTTACGTTTGGAAGTTAGCTCTAATGGCATTTGAACAGGGGGGTTTGTTAATCTATTAACTGTTGAAAACAGAACACGCAGATTGTTGCTGCAGCCTTCAATCATTTCAGAAAAATACCTTTCTCTCGTACTACGTAGCACCCGGTTAAACTCGCACAACTTATCTTTGAAGATCTTGTAATCAACCTGGAGGTTGGACTTGCGCCACTTCCGCTCGGCCCTCCGGCACTTTCTCTTTTGTGCCCTGACCGAGTCTGCTTTAGCCCACGGCGCCTTCTGCTTATTTTGCACTATTTTAACCTTCACAGGGGCAACGGTATCCAGAACATTCAAAACACTAGAGGTGACAGAGTTAAACAGTTCATCTACAGTAGAATACGATGCATTTTCAAAGTTTATCATTCCCATAAATAGTTCACTCGTATTTTCATTTATGTGTCTTCTTCGAACAGTTGCAGAGTCCAATAGTGATATATTGGAGTTAAGTTCACTTTCCAAAACAAACTGTAAGATTTTCACTAACGAGGCTATATAACACAATATTATTATTTTAAAACAACAATGGATTGATCTGGTTTCAACCGTTATTCATTTTTACTGCATTTTTTTATTCACAAAGAGATGGCGAGTTGATTTCATCTACATTTCGTGAGGCCCTGAATGAAATGTTTTGAGAACCACTGCTTCAGGTCCAGATAAATTTAAGAAAAAGGCAGGATTCTAATCTAAATGTCACAACTACTAGTTTGTGTGTGATTCTAGTTTGTGTGATTGTGACTCTTTTGTGACAATTGTTTGGAGTTTGCATGTTCTCTTTGTGTTGTAAACAAGCAACGGTCTGTGAATAGCCTCCGAATACTAAAACAACTAGCATTCTAACCTCACATTTCCTGGATAGAGCCTATACCAGTGTATGTGTTGTTCTTATACAAGCATGTTTAAACTAATAATGTAAGACTACAAAATGAGAATTACGACAAAATTCTCAACTTTTGCCTGGGCTTCGGTAAATTGCAATACATCACAAAGTGGCACCAAATTATGATACTTCTGAATCATTTCTCACATTAAAACTGAGGTAGATCTTGACTCACTGGTCACTGGAGAAGTAGAAATTGATTGGAGAAAGTGCGAGCTTTGAAGCATTTATGAAGTGACATTTGACTTCCACAGCGGCTTTGACGCTGAAATTACATTCGGAAACATGTCTTGACCGCATTGCAAACTACAGCTGGATATTTGAAGATTCTTACGGTTCTTCTCTTTGACATCAGCTTTTACTCTCATGGCCTCTCCAATCCAACTAATATACACACGTCTATACGTAGCCTACTGTAACCTTATATCTTCAAATTTCCCCATGCATTAGTGAATGAATGGGGAATCTCTTAAGCCGCATATACATAATAATTTTCTTTATCTCAATCGCGACAGCTGGGATGTGCTCCAGGATAAATGTGGGTGTTAAAACATGAATCGTACGTACTTAACTATAACATGAATTGTACATATTTATAATTGTACATGATTATTATTGCTGTCTTTAAATGGTTCTACCACTGGTTCCTTGTCATGCAAATGGTCTTATGTACTTATGGTCTTATTGTGAGGCTCATTCATTCAGTATTCACAGACTGTATTTAGCATAGCCTGCTGTAACAATATGTGCGTACAGCTGGAGGCTAATGTCACAGTATGCTCTCATATAGTGGTGTAAGTGTTAGCGTTAGCATGTACGTTGCCGAGCAATCTGTCGAGTGTTTCCATGTTGAGAACCGTGACCCATATATCGTCATCCGCATGTCATTGTACGGTTTTGCATATTCTCCGGTCGACTTGAGGCTATTATTCCTCCTAATAAGAAGTCCCAGAGCAGTCAATTTGACGGCCTTTACTTTTGTAACTGTAATTACTCAGCTCATGTAAATTGTTTGGTTTTCTTAACTTTGTCACTTATTCTGTTTCTGTTTTTAGTTTATATCTGTGTCATTATTTTCCCTCAATTTATCTTGTATTTTTTCAAATATTCTGTAGTATTAACCTTTACCTAACATTTTTACCGAAATGCATTTTTGGTTGCATTCTATGGCAGTTAAAGCCCTATTTTCAAGTTGCTGGTCCTGCACTGGTCTCGGACTGGTCTCGGACTGGTCTTGGACTGGTCTCGGACTGGTCTTGGACTGGTCTTGAACTAGTTTTATACTGGTACTCGACTGGTCTTGGACTGTTACTGGACTGGTTTTTAACTGGCTCTAGATTGGTTCTGAACTTGTCCTTGTCTGGTACTGGACTGGTACTGACTGGTCCAAATCAGTGACCCATAGTAACCATAGCAACACATTGTTTACGGCAGTTAGCGTTTTAACTATTTTTGCTGTATTTGTTCAATTCCCCAGTTGCAGCACTTGTTAAAAGTGACGTAAGGTTAAAAAAAAACCTTATGAAACTTAAAATTTTTGGGGCTAAATTTCTCAAAACTCCATTGGTTTGAGCGGGAGCAGTCAAAACGACGGCTCTGGGAGTTCTCGTAGCTTGATATTTCTGGGAGTCTGGTTGTTAACTTTGCTTTTGTTACAACTTCTTTTGTCTTAAATCAGGAGCCTCAAACCACAGTTATCCACAACCCCACAGACGGAACCAAGGTATTCTCCATCGCTGCGGTCGCCTCTGGAGCTGCTGCTTTAGCCGTGACGATGGCTCTTCCATGTTCATATGTTCTGTTTATTTTAACACGTGACATCAATCATAGCCTTGTGTTCGCGTGGACAGAGGTGGGCAGACTTCAGAGGCAGAGGTTAAGACGGTTTTTCGCCACAAAAATCTCCTACTTAAAGATGTAGGCAAAGCAGAAGAAAATGGATGGATGTATTTTTGGCCTCTGTCACAGGTTTAACGTCCAATAGTGACTCACACGGATTTGTCTTTCTGGTATTTAACATTTTTTCCTACTCAGATAGACAGGATAATGTATTCTGATTAGGAAACAAAAAATAGATACCCCAGTTTTAAATTCACATGACTAGACTTTCTCACAACTCAAAAAAGTACTAAAAGCGTTATATATACTGAGGTATGAAAACGTTTTGTGATTTTCTTTTTATAAATCATTGGTTGTTTAGATAAGAAATGTCAGTTAAATATATCCTATAGGAATAATAAGTGAAATAAAATGTGTGTAATATACAGAAAGTGCGCAAGAATTATTGATATAGAATTAAGCATGTTCATAAATGTTTGCACCACAAGAGAAAAATCAACTCAATATTTAGTATTTAGAACAAACAGCCTTTTCCTATAACTTCTAAAGGCTTGATTCTGGTAGAAGGAATTTTGGACCATTCTTCTTTGACAAATCATCTCCAAGTTCTGGCAGGTTTAATGGGTTCCGAGACAGTTTTTTTAAAATCACATTGCAACATTTCAATTTCAATCATTATCAGGTCTGGGGACTGAGATAGCCTGGTCGTACCACACCATAGTACAAATTACATTTCGTACTAAGGTCTGGATTTGCTCCATTGAGCTCCGTTAACAGGTGGGAGGGGTTAACTCCTTTTGCAGATTGAAACGATTGGATCTGAGTTTACCGTCACATATGTAATGCGCCCGAGTGAGACGTTAGCATTTAGCATTTAGCCTAGCTTTAGCCATCTCCTTTGGCGCTAACAGAGCCCGTGGGGAGTAGCGCCACAATTTTTGCCAGCGATTACATTTGCTAAACATTCCTCTTAACTCCGGCTTCAATTTCTTGATAGAACCAGAACTGATTACTTTACAATCGCATCCTTTGCCCTTGCTAAACTACAACCTGCCCGTTCGGCGCAAACTCTTGATGTCATCCACATCTACCTACAACACCCGCCTCCCACACTCTCTGATTGGTCGGATGGAATTCAAACGATTGTAATCGCTAACACAGTGACCAGACCCAGACGTTACATGCAGGAAATGATGATTGAGCGGAGTGTACAGATGGATAAGGCCAGGCTAGGACTGAGATGGTCCTTCCAGAGTTTGCCTTAGTAGATTTTGCATACACCTGTAGGGTCTATTTCACAAGAAGTTGTCAAAACACGTCAAAATAAAACTTAAAACTTTTGGTAATAACTGTGTAATAATCTGCTTCCTGCCCACCTGTGACCACGCCTCACCCATTTGTTTTTTTTTACAACTTTAACTTTCGTTTCCTCTGACATCACGTGCGACAGACATAGAACATGAGGCTTTGTTGTTTCCGTGGAGGCGTGGTCCTGGTGCATGTTATGGTCTGTCGATGCTCCTCCTGCTCCATAACCGAGTTGTATCATGCGTGTGTTCGGTGTTAGTGTCTCTGTGCATGCCTGTGTGTGTGCGGTCACATGACTAAAGGCTTGTATTGTGCGTCTGGGATGGAGAGGGGGCAGTGGGCTTCTTCATTCATGCTGCGGGGCAAAAGTGCGGTGAGGTGAAAAATGGGTCGGAAAAGGGCTGTATTTGCTTCGTATGTTGGAGGTTATAGACATGTGTGTGTCTGTGTGTATAGGAGGTTGTAGACCAGTGTGTGTGTGTGTCTATGTGTGTAGGAGATTCTAGACCTGTGTGTTTTGTGTATTCCTCACTAAGAGATATTTGTAGAAAGGCGTTTTGATATTTATTAATCTTATCTTTTTTCTTTTTTTAGTATTTTTATTACATACATACGATTATACATTTAATTATATATAGTAATTTTTTAATTATTATTTTCACTAGTATTTACATTTTTTTTTTTTTTTTTTTTTTTTATTGTGTGCCAGTTTTTTCTGGTTTGATTCCTGGAGGCCTCCGCTCCTGAGCTGCACTTTTGGGACCTCTTTGCTTCATGAATTGTGCCATATAAATAAAGTAGATTTGTATTGTATTATTACTATTTGAATGACTAAATCTCAAAGCTGTGTTTGTTGCCCAGGGTTCCAGCGAGAGCGCCAGCACCACCATCGAGGACGAAGACGTCAGAGGTACACACTTCTCTCCAGATCTACCACAAAAACACGTTTACAAAAATGTTAATTATGCCTCGGCTCGAAAAACCAGTTAATCTGAGTTTCCAGCATGTGTCCGGCTTCACCTTTGCTTCATGGTATTTGCATGTGACAAAGAGCCTTTTACCTTCCACTGGACCTGAACAAGAGACCCGTCCGGATTTTTATGCTAAAACTCGTCCTGACTCGTTCTGACGTCTTTATTTATCGTTTATCAAATGACAAACTTTATCGATCTGGAAGCTGACATTCTAGCTCAGTGTTATTCATCAAAATGATTTTAAAGCAGAGCAAAACCAAAACCTTTTTATCAAATATCAGACAGTATTGATGGTTTTAAATGATGATTGAGAAGGTCTTCAGGACGCCAGGATCCTCCCGCGTATGAACCTAACGACTTTTTATATTTACTGCGGGGAAAAGATTTAAGATAAGATCAAACTTTATTGACATAAATGGGGTCAATCAGGATGTGCAAAAAGAAATATACACAAAAAAAGTTAAAAGATTACAGTATTGTGTGCATCTTATTAGTCCTAACTAGGAGTGTGACGATATATAGATTTTCCGATATATCGCGATATTTTCTCCCGCGATCGATTATCGATATGCATTTGCCAAATATCAATTTTGAAGAAAAAAAAAGTGTGTATATATATATATATACCACACTTTTTTTTTCTTCAAAATTGATATTTGCAAATGCATATCGATAATCGATCGCGGGAGAAAATATCGCGATATATCGGAAAAACTCTATATATCGTCACACTCCTAGTTAGGACTAACTAAGATGCACACAATACTGTAATCTTTTAACTTTTTTTAGTGATATTTCTTTTTGCACATCCTGATTGACCCCATTTATGTCAATAAAGTTTGATCTTATCTTAAATCTTTTCCAGCAGTAAATATAAAAAGTCGTTAGGTTCATACGCGGGAGGATCCTGGCGTCCCCCCCATGAAGACCTTCTCAATCATCATTTAAAACCATCAATACTGTCTGATATTTGATAAAAAGGTTTTGGTTTTGCTCTGCTTTAAAATCATTTTGATGAATAACACTGAGCTAGAATGTCAGCTTCCAGATCGATAAAGTTTGTCATTTGATAAACGATAAATAAAGACGTCAGAACGAGTCAGGGACGAGTTTTAGCATAAAAATCCGGGACGGGTCTCTCTGTTCAGGTCCAGTGGAAGGTAAAAGGCTCTTTGTCACATGCAAATACCATGAAGCAAAGGTGAGCCGGACACATGCTGGAAACTCAGATTAACTGGTTTTTCGAGCCGAGGCATAATTAACATTTTTGTAAACGTGTTTTTGTGGTAGATCTGGAGAGAAGTGTGGTGACCTCTGACGTCTTCGTCCTCGATGGTGGTGCTGGCGCTCTCGCTGGAACCCTGGGCACAAACACAGCTTTGAGATTTAGTCATTCAAATAGTAATAATACAATACAAATCTACTTTATTTATATGGCACAATTCATGAAGCAAAGAGGTCCCAAAAGTGCAGCTCAGGAGCGGAGGCCTCCAGGAATCAAACCAGAAAAAACTGGCACACAATAAAAAAAAAAAAAAAAAAAAAAAAAACATGTAAATACTAGTGAAAATAATAATTAAAAAATTACTATATATAATTAAATGTATAATCGTATGTATGTAATAAAAATACTAAAAAAGAAAAAAGATAAGATTAATAAATATCAAAACGCCTTTCTACAAATATCTCTTAGTGAGGAATACACAAAACACACAGGTCTAGAATCTCCTACACACATAGACACACACACACACTGGTCTACAACCTCCTATACACACAGACACACACATGTCTATAACCTCCAACATACGAAGCAAATACAGCCCTTTTCCGACCATTTTTCACCTCACCGCACTTTTGCCCCGCAGCATGAATGAAGAAGCCACTGCCCCCTCTCCATCCCAGACGCACAATACAAGCTTTAGTCATGTGACCGCACACACACAGGCATGCACAGAGACACTAACACCGAACACACGCATGATACAACTCGGTTATGGAGCAGGAGGAGCATCGACAGACCATAACATGCACCAGGACCACGCCTCCACGGAAACAACAAAGCCTCATGTTCTATGTCTGTCGCACGTGATGTCAGAGGAAACGAAAGTTAAAGTTGTAAAAAAAAACAAATGGGTGAGGCGTGGTCACAGGTGGGCAGGAAGCAGATTATTACACAGTTATTACCAAAAGTTTTAAGTTTTATTTTGACGTGTTTTGACAACTTCTTGTGAAATAGACCCTACAGGTGTATGCAAAATTCTACTAAGGCAAACTCTGGAAGGACCATCTCAGTCCTAGCCTGGCCTTATCCATCTGTACACTCCGCTCAATCATCATTTCCTGCATGTAACGTCTGGGTTGGTCACTGTGTTAGCGATTACAATCGTTTGAATTCCATCCGACCAATCAGAGAGTGTGGGAGGCGGGTGTTGTAGGTAGATGTGGATGACATCAAGAGTTTGCGCCGAACGGGCAGGTTGTAGTTTAGCAAGGGCAAAGGATGCGATTGTAAAGTAATCAGTTCTGGTTCTATCAAGAAATTGAAGCGGAGTTAAGAGGAATGTTTAGCAAATGTAATCGCTGGCAAAAATTGTGGCGCTACTCCCCACGGGCTCTGTTAGCGCCAAAGGAGATGGCTAAAGCTAGGCTAAATGCTAAATGCTAACGTCTCACTCGGGCGCATTACATATGTGACGGTAAAACTCAGATCCAATCGTTTCAATCTGCAAAAGGAGTTAACCCCTCCCACTGTTAACGGAGCTCAATGGAGCAAATCCAGACCTTAGTACGAAATGTAATTTGTACTATGGTGTGGTACGACCAGGCTATCTCAGTCCCCAGACCTGATAATGATTGAAATTGAAATGTTGCAATGTGATTTTAAAAAAAACTGTCTCGGAACCCATTAAACCTGCCAGAACTTGGAGATGATTTGTCAAAGAAGAATGGTCCAAAATTCCTTCTACCAGAATCAAGCCTTTAGAAGTTATAGGAAAAGGCTGTTTGTTCTAAATACTAAATATTGAGTTGATTTTTTCTCTTGTGGTGCAAACATTTATGAACATGCTTAATTCTATATCAATAATTCTTGCGCACTTTCTGTATATTACACACATTTTATTTCACTTATTATTCCTATAGGATATATTTAACTGACATTTCTTATCTAAACAACCAATGATTTATAAAAAGAAAATCACAAAACGTTTTCATACCTCAGTATATATAACGCTTTTAGTACTTTTTTGAGTTGTGAGAAAGTCTAGTCATGTGAATTTAAAACTGGGGTATCTATTTTTTGTTTCCTAATCAGAATACATTATCCTGTCTATCTGAGTAGGAAAAAAATGTTAAATACCAGAAAGACAAATCCGTGTGAGTCACTATTGGACGTTAAACCTGTGACAGAGGCCAAAAATACATCCATCCATTTTCTTCTGCTTTGCCTACATCTTTAAGTAGGAGATTTTTGTGGCGAAAAAACCGTCTTAACCTCTGCCTCTGAAGTCTGCCCACCTCTGTCCACGCGAACACAAGGCTATGATTGATGTCACGTGTTAAAATAAACAGAACATATGAACATGGAAGAGCCATCGTCACGGCTAAAGCAGCAGCTCCAGAGGCGACCGCAGCGATGGAGAATACCTTGGTTCCGTCTGTGGGGTTGTGGATAACTGTGGTTTGAGGCTCCTGATTTAAGACAAAAGAAGTTGTAACAAAAGCAAAGTTAACAACCAGACTCCAGAAATATCAAGCTACGAGAACTCCCAGAGCCGTCGTTTTGACTGCTCCCGCTCAAACCAATGGAGTTTTGAGAAATTTAGCCCCAAAAATTTTAAGTTTCATAAGGTTTTTTTTTAACCTTACGTCACTTTTAACAAGTGCTGCAACTGGGGAATTGAACAAATACAGCAAAAATAGTTAAAACGCTAACTGCCGTAAACAATGTGTTGCTATGGTTACTATGGGTCACTGATTTGGACCAGTCAGTACCAGTCCAGTACCAGACAAGGACAAGTTCAGAACCAATCTAGAGCCAGTTAAAAACCAGTCCAGTAACAGTCCAAGACCAGTCGAGTACCAGTATAAAACTAGTTCAAGACCAGTCCAAGACCAGTCCGAGACCAGTCCAAGACCAGTCCGAGACCAGTCCGAGACCAGTGCAGGACCAGCAACTTGAAAATAGGGCTTTAACTGCCATAGAATGCAACCAAAAATGCATTTCGGTAAAAATGTTAGGTAAAGGTTAATACTACAGAATATTTGAAAAAATACAAGATAAATTGAGGGAAAATAATGACACAGATATAAACTAAAAACAGAAACAGAATAAGTGACAAAGTTAAGAAAACCAAACAATTTACATGAGCTGAGTAATTACAGTTACAAAAGTAAAGGCCGTCAAATTGAGCTCTGGGACTTCTTATTAGGAGGAATAATAGCCTCAAGTCGACCGGAGAATATGCAAAACCGTACAATGACATGCGGATGACGATATATGGGTCACGGTTCTCAACATGGAAACACTCGACAGATTGCTCGGCAACGTACATGCTAACGCTAACACTTACACCACTATATGAGAGCATACTGTGACATTAGCCTCCAGCTGTACGCACATATTGTTACAGCAGGCTATGCTAAATACAGTCTGTGAATACTGAATGAATGAGCCTCACAATAAGACCATAAGTACATAAGACCATTTGCATGACAAGGAACCAGTGGTAGAACCATTTAAAGACAGCAATAATAATATGTACGATTCATGTTTTAACAATTATAATATGTACAATTCATGTTATAGCAATTATATTAAGTACGATTCATGTTTTAACACCCACATTTATCCTGGAGCACATCCCAGCTGTCGCGATTGAGATAAAGAAAATTATTATGTATATGCGGCTTAAGAGATTCCCCATTCATTCACTAATGCATGGGGAAATTTGAAGATATAAGGTTACAGTAGGCTACGTATAGACGTGTGTATATTAGTTGGATTGGAGAGGCCATGAGAGTAAAAGCTGATGTCAAAGAGAAGAACCGTAAGAATCTTCAAATATCCAGCTGTAGTTTGCAATGCGGTCAAGACATGTTTCCGAATGTAATTTCAGCGTCAAAGCCGCTGTGGAAGTCAAATGTCACTTCATAAATGCTTCAAAGCTCGCACTTTCTCCAATCAATTTCTACTTCTCCAGTGACCAGTGAGTCAAGATCTACCTCAGTTTTAATGTGAGAAATGATTCAGAAGTATCATAATTTGGTGCCACTTTGTGATGTATTGCAATTTACCGAAGCCCAGGCAAAAGTTGAGAATTTTTGTCGTAATTCTCATTTTGTAGTCTTACATTATTAGTTTAAACATGCTTGTATAAGAACAACACATACACTGGTATAGGCTCTATCCAGGAAATGTGAGGTTAGAATGCTAGTTGTTTTAGTATTCGGAGGCTATTCACAGACCGTTGCTTGTTTACAACACAAAGAGAACATGCAAACTCCAAACAATTGTCACAAAAGAGTCACAATCACACAAACTAGAATCACACACAAACTAGTAGTTGTGACATTTAGATTAGAATCCTGCCTTTTTCTTAAATTTATCTGGACCTGAAGCAGTGGTTCTCAAAACATTTCATTCAGGGCCTCACGAAATGTAGATGAAATCAACTCGCCATCTCTTTGTGAATAAAAAAATGCAGTAAAAATGAATAACGGTTGAAACCAGATCAATCCATTGTTGTTTTAAAATAATAATATTGTGTTATATAGCCTCGTTAGTGAAAATCTTACAGTTTGTTTTGGAAAGTGAACTTAACTCCAATATATCACTATTGGACTCTGCAACTGTTCGAAGAAGACACATAAATGAAAATACGAGTGAACTATTTATGGGAATGATAAACTTTGAAAATGCATCGTATTCTACTGTAGATGAACTGTTTAACTCTGTCACCTCTAGTGTTTTGAATGTTCTGGATACCGTTGCCCCTGTGAAGGTTAAAATAGTGCAAAATAAGCAGAAGGCGCCGTGGGCTAAAGCAGACTCGGTCAGGGCACAAAAGAGAAAGTGCCGGAGGGCCGAGCGGAAGTGGCGCAAGTCCAACCTCCAGGTTGATTACAAGATCTTCAAAGATAAGTTGTGCGAGTTTAACCGGGTGCTACGTAGTACGAGAGAAAGGTATTTTTCTGAAATGATTGAAGGCTGCAGCAACAATCTGCGTGTTCTGTTTTCAACAGTTAATAGATTAACAAACCCCCCTGTTCAAATGCCATTAGAGCTAACTTCCAAACGTAAATGCAATGAGTTTGCACACTTTTTCAATGACAAGGTTCAAGGCATCAAAAACGCCATTGTCTCCAATCCACAGATAACCATCCAACAGCCAGAAAGGCTCTCTGAGCTAACTTACTTTGCACCTGTAAATGATAAAACTGTCCAAGAGATAATCTCCAGTTTGAGCTCCTCCACATGCAGCCTGGATGTACTACCCACTAGATTTCTGAAGTCCGTTCTGAGCAGTCTGTTACCTTCACTCACACAGATAGTAAACATGTCCCTTCATTCTGGAATATTCCCAAAGGCCCTGAAAACGGCAGTCATCAGGCCCCTGCTAAAAAGGAGCAGTCTGGATGCTACGGTACTTAACAACTATCGTCCCATCTCAAATCTGCCATTTATGGGGAAAGTCCTTGAAAAAGTTGTCTACCTACAGCTTACTAGATTTCTTATAATTAACAACTCATTTGATATGTTTCAGTCCGGCTTTAGACCCCACCACAGCACTGAGACTGCTCTCGTCAAGGTTACAAATGATATCCGGCTGAACACTGACGCAGGCAAAGTCTCAATCTTAATCTTGTTAGATCTAAGTGCTGCCTTTGACACTGTCGACCATGAGATCCTCTTACAGAGACTAGAGAACTGGGTTGGCGTCGCTGGCTCCGCCCTAAGTTGGTTTAGGTCTTACCTTGAAGACAGGAAGTACTTTGTGGAGATTGGAGACTGTGTCTCAGATCATATGGCCCTGACCTGTGGAGTACCACAGGGGTCGATCCTGGGACCTCTTCTGTTCAATCTCTACATGCTGCCGTTAGGTCAGTTAATACGCAGAAACAAAGTGTCCTATCACAACTATGCAGATGACACTCAGATCTATGTCTCACTGACTGCAGGAGAACATGGACCAGTGGACTCACTCCTTCACTGTATCCAACAGATCAGTGAGTGGATGCAAAACAACTTCCTTCAGCTAAACGCAGACAAAACTGAAATGATTGTCTTTGGTCCCCAGAAACAAAGAGAGAGCGTCATCTGTCACCTACAGTCTCTCTCCCTAAAACCTTCAAACAAGGTCAGAAATCTAGGGGTAATACTGGACTCAGACTTAAATTTTAATAGCCACATCAAATCAGTAACATCAGCAGCTTTTTTCCATCTAAAAAACATTGCCAGGATCAAAAACATAGTGTCTAAAGCAGACCTGGAGATTCTTATCCATGCATTTGTCTCCAGTAGGTTAGACTACTGCAATGGCCTGCTCACACGTCTGTCCAAACAGGCTGTAAAACAGCTGCAGTACATTCAAAATGCAGCAGCTCGAGTCCTGACTAGAACCAGGAAGTACGACCACATTAGTCCGGTCCTCAGGTCTCTGCACTGGCTTCCTGTGGCTCAGAGAATAGACTTTAAAACAGCTCTGCTTGTGTACAAGTCTCTCCATGGCCTCGCACCAAACTATATTAGTGACATGTTAGTCCCATATGAACCAGCCCGGACTCTGAGGAGCACAGGGACTGGACTCCTGTTAGTGTCCAGAGTCAGAACTAAACATGGGGAGGCTGCTTTTCAGATTCATGCTGCTAAAATCTGGAACAGTCTTCCTGAAGATGTGAGACAGGCCTCCTCTCTGACAATGTTTAAGACAAGGTTAAAGACAGTTCTGTTTAGCTGTGCATACAACTGAGGGATTTTATATTTGTATCTTTTTAATGTACCGTGATTATTTATGATTTTAATGCTTTCTTGTTCTGTTCAGCACTTTGAATTGCCTTGTGTATGAATTGTGCTATACAAATAAACTTGCCTTGCCTATTAGAAGTCATTCCATTTTGAGAACCACTGCTTTAAAGGTGATGTCTGCAAGTATTTTTTCTTGACAACCTGGACTTAGATGTTAATGCAAAGTTACATGTAGTAGAAAGATATTGATTCTACAGGCCCCTCATTAGTTCATTAGCCATACTAGACCAACATCAATTACATTTCACAAAGCCTAAAACTTCCAACCAATGGGGCGACGCCTTCGGGAGTGATCAGGGGGCAGAGTTACAGACATGAATTCCCATAGCCAAAATATAAGAACATGCAATGACCGCTTTGGCCATTCCCATCAACAACAACAACAGAGGATGTAGCTCGCTAGCCCTTGTGCAGGGACGCTAGCCGCTAACACCATCCAGGCATTAGCTCTAGCATTAGCATCCATCTAGAGCACAGAACACATGCACAAACAGACAGACGGAGAAGCAGGCGGAGTACCAGCACAGGAAGCTCTTTGGGGGTGCACACTACATTGGTCTTGTTGTTGATCTGGGGGGGACAGAGTTGGACATGAGACAAACACAGAAGAGAAAGGAGAAGGACTTTGGATTCAGCTGCTGTGGAAGGAAAAATGTTAGAAAGCTTAAAAAGGACAGAGAAAGGAGGCATTTGCGCACAGGGCGTAGAAGTGAGGAGCTAGGAAGTGCCCGTCCATCTCACTTCAGGAGCAGAATATAGGGATAGAAACTTAGCCGAGATGACTACTACTAATACATCTAATAGTTTGAAAAAACCTCTGATCTGCCACAATATCCACAAAACCTATATTTCTATTTGAAACGGTCATGTTCCAGAAGCCGATTGCAGATAGCAGAGGGCAGGACTTTATAGCTCCTTAGCTTCCTTATATGCAAGAAAATACAGTAGAATTATTTAATTCATGTTGGTTTATGTTCAAACATTCAAAACAAAGCTAGGACTTTTTAATGTAATTTTTACCACACCCACAAAACAGATTCGAGTCAATGTGATGAAACAATCACAATAATCCAAACTCAAATCCACAATGCAAGTCTAACTACGGGAGAGGTTCACTTCTGTTCAAGATTGAAGCACAAAGTTGTGGCGACAAAATCACAAACAGTCTGGAATCAAATTAATCACCCCATTTTCTGATGCTAATATTAGCAGAGCCACAACAGCAACACAAAAAGTCAGAATACAAGAGACGGAAATATGTTGGATTTGGCTGCGCCTCACATAATCTCTCTCTCTGGTCTCGCTCTCTGGTCTCGCTCTCTGGTCTCGCTCTCTGGTCTCGCTCTCTGGTCTCGCTCTCTGGTCTCGCTCTCTGGCCTCGCTCTCTGGCCTCGCTCTCTGGCCTCGCTCTCTGGCCTCGCTCTCTGGCCTCGCTCTCTGGCCTCGCTCTCTGGCCTCGCTCTCTGGCCTCGCTCTCTGGCCTCGCTCTCTGGCCTCGCTCTCTGGCCTCGCTCTCTGGCCTCGCTCTCTGGCCTCGCTCTCTGGCCTCGCTCTTGCTCGCTCTGGCCTCGCTCTCTGGCCTCGCTCTCTGGCCTCGCTCTCTGGCCTCGCTCTCTGGCCTCGCTCTCTGGCCTCGCTCTCTGGCCTCGCTCTCTGGCCTCGCTCTCTGGCCTCGCTCTCTGGCCTCGCTCTCTGGCCTCGCTCTCTGGCTCGCTCTGGCCCGCTCTCTGCCCGCTCTCTGGCCCCGCTCTCTGGCCCCGCTCTCTGGCCTCGCTCTCTGGCCTCGCTCTCTGGCCTCGCTCTCTGGCCTCGCTCTCTGGCCCCGCTCTCTGGCCCCGCTCTCTGGCCTCGCTCTCTGGCCTCGCTCTCTGGCCTCGCTCTCTGGCCTCGCTCTCTGGCCTCGCTCTCTGGCCTCGCTCTCTGGCCTCGCTCTCTGGCCTCGCTCTCTGGCCTCGCTCTCTGGCCTCGCTCTCTGGCCTCTCTCTCTGGCCTGGCTCGCTCTCTGGCCTCGCTCTCTGGCCTCGCTCTCTGGCCTCGCTCTCTGGCCTCGCTCTCTGGCCTCGCTCTCTGGCCTCGCTCTCTGGCCTCGCTCTCTGGCCTCGCTCTCTGGCCTCGCTCTCTGGCCTCGCTCTCTGGCCTCGCTCTCTGGCCTCGCTCTCTGGCCCCGCTCTCTGGCCTCGCTCTCTGGCCTCGCTCTCTGGCCTCGCTCTCTGGCCTCGCTCTCTGGCCCCGCTCTCTGGCCCCGCTCTCTGGCCCCGCTCTCTGGCCCCGCTCTCTGGCCCCGCTCTCTGGCCCCGCTCTCTGGCCCCGCTCTCTGGCCCCGCTCTCTGGCCCCGCTCTCTGGCCCCGCTCTCTGGCCCCGCTCTCTGGCCCCTCTCTCTTCCCTGGTCTCTCTAGTCTCTCTCTAGTCTCTCTCTCTCTAGTCTCTCTCCCTAAAAAAACCAAGGTAACATTAAAATCATAGTAAAAGCATATAACCCCAGTACATTTAAAATAATGAGAATCCAGGTAGGAAAAAAACCATACAATTTCAAAGCCTTATTCAAAGTCCAATGAGTGATTTTTTGCCCCACGCAGACACGACGACACCATATATTATTCTCCGAGGGGACTTTAATTTCAGTCTGAATGATGAAGCCTATCAGCCACCCGCCAATCATCTTCGCAATCAGCACTTATTAGCTCCTTCTCAGTGCGACAATGCATAATTAGCAGTGCCGATGTCACAAAGAACAGATCCAGGCAACTTTTCTGATTGCGAGAGTGAGGAGAGAGAAGGGGGACTTACTTTCACACTGTCTGGCTTCTTGTTGACGAGGCTCTTGGCTACTGTAAGGTGAAAGGAGACAAAGCAGAGACAGATAAATATGGGTGTTTTTTTTTTCTTTCCAATAACGTGTTTTTTCAAGGCTAGAGCGGCCGCTTGAGGATGCGGCGAGACGGCGAGGATTGGAAAAATGCAAATCGAGTTGAGAGTGAAATGCGACTTGGGGAATCAGTAGTTTGGAACATGCAATTAGGGATAATAGACGGGAAAAATAATCATGGATCGGTACAAATGTGTCGAATCTTTCATTAATTTCCATTCGTTTTGGCTGGATGGATTGAAGAGTTTGGATTGTATTTGCGTACTTAAAGGGGAAGTATGCAATATGCACTGAGTGGTCAAAGAATAACAATAACAATCAGTTCCTTTATAAATTCACTTAAGTCTACATGTTTATGACAAAAACTAATTTATTCAAACAAAAGCGGGTACAAAAATAACAAATATAACATGTCAAAGTCCGTACCCGTAGCTAACCCCAGCAGGTTTTTTGCATCTGTAATTAGCTACATGTGCTACAGGCAGGAGGATTAAGGGTTAGGGTTAGCAAACGTTTGTAATTGCTTTATTAAACTAGTATGAGTGCAAACTACATGCAGTCCCTTTAAGTCAGTGTTTTTCAACCAGTGGGCCGTGGCACGCTGGTGGGCCTTGCGATGTTTATTAGTGTGCCTTGAAAATGAGATGTGAGATGATTGGAAAGATTTGTTTTGCGTGACTTGTTAATAAAGGCGGTAGAGTTCAAATTGGTGTGCCGTGTGGTGTGATTTTTGCAATACAAAGGTGTGCCACGGCTCAAAAAGGTTGGGGAACACTGCTTTAAGTAATTAGTACAATTAATTAGTAAAAGTACAAACACAATTTAACCCTTTACTAGTTCCCTCAACCATTTATAGGATCACTTTTTGAGTTACTAAAATCTACTTGAGGCTTGGAACTGAAATCTACCTCAGTGTTGCATCTCTATCACTTGGTTTTTATCAGTTTTATTTTTATTTTATTGCTTTTATTTTTAAATCAGACAGACTAGTATTTTATTGATTTTATCACATTTTAATTGTTAACTGATATGTTATTGTTATTATATTTGTATTGTTTTTACTTTGTGCATAATGTTTTACCTCCATTTTTTTTAAACACAAAACTGGCAAACCTGCATATTTAAATGTGTTCATTTTATCTCTGTGATGCACTTTGTGAAATTTTGTTTTACATAATGTGCTATATAAATAAAGTTTATCGTCACACTGCAACTCAACCATTTGGTAAAGGCTTATAATATAAAAAACTAGGGGTTAAAAAAAACTTAAAAACTAATTATTAGTGCTCGCCTACATTGTAGAAATATTTACATTGCTTTCTTCAAGGAGTGAAAATTAAAAGGTTAAAGTCGAAATACATTTCTCAGAATAACTTTGCTTTCACTCAATAACATTTAAGGTAGATTGGATTAAAATAGTCAAAACAGAGTGAATTGCAGCAGGAACACGGCGCTCTTATGAACTCTGCGGTAAATAATTTATTCCATGATCTAATAACAGACAATTAGAAGTATTAGTAAAGTACACAGGGAACAGCTAGCTTGAAGGGTTCTTGAGGTTTGATTGCAGAATAATGACTTGTACATTAGTCCTAACAGTGTTTGTAGGAAGCCGTCGTCAGCAGAGGGCTGAACAAACCAAGGAGCGACAGTTTTAAATCATAAACACACAAATGATCTGCTTTAAATTCAAAGTAATAAGAAAAAAAACAACTTGGCTTCTGTCTGACCGCTGCCATCTGACAGCACTCCCATTGCAAACACAATGATGCAAATCAAATCCTATTTTTGGACATGCACAATTTTTAAATAATATTTCCTTTGATGAAGGCTTGCGGTGGCTGTAGTACTCTGGGCCATATTGGAACACGGACGACATCATTACTGACAATGGAAATGTTGGAATGGTGGGAATCCCGGCATTTTGACCCTTTAGGTGCCAGACTTTTTCTAAATTGTTGTAAGAAATAGACAAAATGTGCAGAATCTTGGAGATAGACAACTAGTCGAACCCATTCCAGAGAGAGAACAGCTTGTGCGAAGCCAGGTCAATGTACTGTATGTGTTTATAGCTTTAAAGTATCTGAACTGACGTTATTTATCCTCTATTGAAAATGTAAACATAAAAAGTGAATATAAATAATCAAATTGATTATGAGAAAGATACAGTATAACTGTAGATTAGCGGTTTTTGTATGTGTCCGTATAATATTGATCACAACTGGTGAATGGTGAAAATTCTGTCATTCAAATTAAAAGCAAAACCAATTCATGATACAGACTCAATGACACATGCCAAGCCTTGTTTAATATAATGTTGATAATAGTGGCTTACATCCTCATTCTTTTAGATGTTTTATTTGGTGTTTTTACAACTGTGAGTCATAATTATCAACAATATAACAAATAATAACTTGATGGATCTAAATTTGCACGTAAAAAGTCTGTTATATACTGTAAGTAAATGGACTTTGGAACGATATTCTAATTTTCAAAGTTTCACCTGTAGTTTACCCACTTCAAACAAAAAACCCCAAAAATTTCCAGTTCCAATATGGCCGCCACCCAATCACTTCATCTATTAAACGCGAGGCCATGCTTTCGTCACAAGACTTACCTCACACCAGACACCAAACGAGACCAAGGGGGAGGAAGAAAAACACAAAAAGTCAACGCCACGTCAACACAACAGTGAAAGTTTCAAACAAAAACACGGCCATCTTTGTAAAACTCCATTACTGCTGCTTCTGCCATTTGTCCCTATGAGCTCACGCAATCGATGGCGCTTGGCTTTGGCGGAGTCGATATTTTGAACCGCGTGCCCTTTTCAGACTACGGCCGTCAATAAAGAGGTAAAAATGGCAGACACAAAAGAGCAAAGCACATGGTGTTATTGTACCTGAGAAGTTGCGATTGACGAGCATGGTGGTCAGGATGGCACCCTGGGGAGACACAGACGAGGGAGACAAACGGTTAAAAAGGCTGAGAGGAGGAATGTCGCATTTGTCTTATCTAGAACATCTATGGCATCTCTCTAACTCTGGTCTCTCTCTGGTCTCTCTCATTTCTCTCATTCTCTGGTCTCTCTCTGGCCTCTCTTTCCAGTCTTTCTCTCTTGCCTCTCTTGCCTCTCTTTCTGGTCTCTCTCATTCTCTGGCCTCTCTCTGGCCTCTCTCTGGCCTCTCTCTGGCCTCTCTCTGGCCTCTCTCTGGCCTCTCTTTGGCCTCTCTTTGGCCTCTCTTTGGCCTCTCTTTGGCCTCTCTTTGGCCTCTCTTTGGCCTCTCTTTGGCCTCTCTCTGGCCTCTCTCTGGCCTCTCTCTGGCCTCTCTCTGGCCTCTCTCTGGCCTCTCTCTGGCCTCTCTCTGGCCTCTCTCTGGCCTCTCTCTGGCCTCTCTCTGGCCTCTCTCTGGCCTCTCTCTGGCCTCTCTCTGGCCTCTCTCTGGCCTCTCTCTGGCCTCTCTCTGGCCTCTCTCTGGCCTCTCTCTGGCCTCTCTCTGGCCTCTCTCTGGCCTCTCTCTGGCCTCTCTCTGGCCTCTCTCTGGCCTCTCTCTGGCCTCTCTCTGGCCTCTCTCTGGCCTCTCTCTGGCCTCTCTCTGGCCTCTCTCTGGCCTCTCTCTGGTCTTTCTTTGGTCTCTCTCTCTGGCCTTTCTTTCCAGTCTTTCTCTCTCTGGCCTTTCTTTCCAGTCTTTCTCTCTCTGGTCTCTCTCTTTTCTCTCATTCTCTGGCCTCTCTTTCCGGTTGTTCTCTCTGGTCTCTCAGATAAGATAAGATATACTTTATTGATCTCACAAAGGAGAAATTTACATGTCACATCTAGCATGGATAGAAACACTTAAGATTGTGCAAAAAGGCCTCTCTCTCTCTGGTCTCTCTCTGGTCTCTCTCCAGCAGCTCTGTGGGGCCTTACTACCAGGGAGCCGGGTGCACATGCATTAAGCCGGCAGACATCAGCTAAAGTGCGCAATATCCATAAACGCTAATGAGGAATAAATGATATGGAGGTCTAATGCACTGGTGGTACATTAGAAGAGCTGAGGCTTTACCAAAGAATGAATGGACCGTCCTTCATTAAAACGGATTTCACGGTAAGATCTTGTGTAAACTTGTAATGCTTTCTAATGTAAGTGCATACATAAAAGCATTTAACAAATATACACACGACTGCATCAATGAAAGCAAAATATACATCGCTGCTTCTTCATAAGTTTATGTTCTTACTAAAGCAGAGGTCACAATGTCTGTCATAGTTAAAGCTGGGGTATCTAACCTCTAAAATGTTCGAGACTACAGTACAACACAGCAAAAAGTACTTATATTTGGTTAAACGCATCTTAATTTGAGAACTTTTGTAGGATATTGTGGAATAGAAATCAATATCCAAATGTTTTCCCAAATCATTGTTGGATAGTGACAAAAATTACAACTTTTATGTCCGAAAATCCTTTCTCAACATCATGCATACGTTTTTGAGATATAGTCACCACTTAGACACCACGAGACATCTTTATGATGAAATAAATAGACCATATATTAACTACTACTATTGTCATTTTAGAATTACGTAATCTATTGCTAGGATGGATGCGTTTTTGCTGCTGGACACCTGAATTTCTACAACGAGGAACAATAAGCTATCTATCTATATTTTTCTATCCATCAATCTATGTACTAAACTAGACTAAGAGGATGTGGAAAATTAGAGTTGTTTGTGGATTGGCCCAGGAATTAGAGAAATTAGCTCTGAACTATGTCTTTTGACGGTGACCATTGTTTTGAACTATAGGCTCTTTATATAATACATTCAGATTACTGCTCACTTTATCTGAATGCATCCCCTCTCTATACTATTGTGCAGTAAGTTAGCCTTATATTGTGAGCAAAGTACAAGCTTGTCCATGAAGAAAAAACCAACCACCAGTATAGTTACATAGTGCATCTTCGAACAAGACAAGGTTGAGGAGACGTCTGAGTGAAAACAAGTCTAAAAATGGCTCAAACCGATTCTCCGTCCGCCCGCGCCTGGTGAGAGTAGCCGTTGTGTGTTTTCCCTTCAGATTTCTAATGGAATGTATTTTGAATCATGGCCAGAAGTTATAAAACTCGAACACAAAGCAACCTCCGACCCAAAGTTATTTAAAACTCATTGAAAATGCATGGGGCCTCATCGCTCACGGCTGGCACTTAACATTTCATAAGTTCAGAGACGGAGGGGAGTCTCCCGTGGTGCGCGGCAGACAACAATGCAATCACCACACTCGTCGCGCTCTCTCTGATTAGGTTAAAGCAGACGCCATTAGAAGATTGTTCTCCATAAATGACTTTTTCCCCCGAATAAATAACCAAAGAATATGATGCAGCTTCGTCATTTAGAAAACTAGAACTGCTATGATTTGCTTATATTGGGCAGAGAGTAGAGGTGTGCGTGTGTGTAAAAGGCAATGCTTTGATTATCACAGCCAAAGAGGTTATGTTTCCACTGGGGTTTGTTAGCCTGTTAGCTTGTTAGCAACATAACTCAAACAGTTAAGGGCAGAATGGAGTTTTGAATGGGGTTAGGGTGATCCGAATCTTTTTAGGGAATGAAACTGCACCTCATAGCAAAGATCTGCGCTTTTGCAGTTTAAAAATTGTTTAGGTATAAGCCATAGACCTTACAATGGGAGTGGAATGGACTGCCCGAGTGCTAATGCTAACAAGACCGCTTAGAGCTAGCCCCAACAGGCCATTTGAGTTGGAAGGTGGAGCCAAATTGAAGAACAATTTGTTGGTAGTGAGGGCCGAGTTATGAGGTCCAAAATGGTGAGTGTGGCACAAACGGTTACTGAGCAAGAGGAGTTTAATTTTTTATTGTCAGTAAGATTTTTGTGCTTCGTTGAGCTAGCGTGTTAGCATTGTCGATCTATATACAGTCTATGGTTGAAGCATACATTTGTCATTATAGTGGGTTCATAATGAAGTTTTGGACTTGAGAAAAATGGTCATCTCAGGCCTTCAACAAATACTCAAATTAGGATAAGTTCTCCCTGTGTGTGCGTCAGTATATGCTGACATCTGTTGATATTGTATTGCTCATCTATGAAGATAATAACAAAACATAACCCCATCATTCCCCCCTAATTCATGTAACTAATTTATCACTGCAAGATTTTTATTTTCTAGATTACTGGACTTGTACATCATTGCAGTCTTTGCGATCAGAGTAAAGTAAAGCCAAGTAGGTCCGGTGGATTTTTTAGTAGTTTATAATATGGGCCGCATCTTCTCATAATGTTTTATATCTATGTCATCATGTAATAGCCATGTTCTACACCTGAGGGTCCCAGTGGTAGTGACCTGTAAACCACAAACATTTACCTTTAGTTTCCTCCTGGCGTTGAACCTCTTGAGACAGTCCACGGTCTCCTGCCGGTGCATACTGGAGGCCACAGTGGAGCGTTGCTATGGACACAAAGACACAAGTCGCATTAGTCCTGTGCCAATAGTAAATATGGACGTTATTGGTTGTATGGAGAGCCGTACGCAGATCCAGGGGTGCTTGAGGGCGTCTGTGGCTGTAACCCTCTTGGCCGGGTGAATGGTGAGCATCTTGTTGATCAGGTCTTTGGCCTCGGACGTCACAGTGTCCCACTCTGGAGAAGGGAACTGAAACGGGGAAAGCGACGATGAGTTATGGAGGGAGAACACTATTTACTAACTTTCTTCAGCTAAACTCAGACAAAACTCATCTGTCAACATCAGTCTCTCTCCCCAAAACCTTTGAATAAGGTCAGATATCTAGGGAAAATACCTACATTAGCTGTATCTTAACTCTTTTTAATGCACTGTGGTTATCCATCCATCCATCCATCCATTTTCTTCCACTTTATCCGTTGCCGGGTCGCAGCAGTCTAAGCAGAGACGCCCAGACTTCCCTATCCACACACACTTCCTCCAGCTCGTCCGGGGGGACCCCAAAGCGTTCCCAGGCCAGCTGAGAGACATAGTCCCTCCAGCGTGTCCTGGGTCTTCCGCGGGGCCTCCTCCCGGTGGGACGTGCCCGGAGCACCTCCCCAGGGAGGCGTCCAGGAGGCATCCGGAACAGATGCCCGAGCCACCTCAACTGGTTCCTCTCGACGTGGAGAAGCAGCGGCTCTACTCAGAGCTCCTCCCGTGTGACTGAGCTCCTCACCCTATCTCTAAGGGAGCGCCCAGCCACTCTGCGGAGGAAGCTCATTTCGACCGCTTGTATCCGCGATCTCGTTCTTTTGGTCATTACCCAAAGCTCATGACCATAGGTGAGGGAGGGAACAAAGATTGACCGGTAAATCGAGAGCTTTGCCTTTCGGCCCAGCTCCCTCTTTACCACAACGGTCCGATACAGCGACCGCATCACTGCACCGATCCGCCTGTCAATCTCACGCTCCATTCTTCCCTCACTCGTGAACAAGACCCCGAGATACTTGAACTCCTCCACTTGAGGAAGGACCTCTCCACCCACCTGTAGAGGGCAAGGCACCTTTTTCCGGTCGAGCACCATCACCACACTATATAACCACACTGTGGTTATATATGATTTTAATCCTTTGTGTGATTTTTACGTTTGTTTTGAATGACTATAATTACTACTAATATTCTGTGTAATTTTAATGTTTATGTGAATATGTATGTCTTATGTGATATGAAGCAGTTTGTGTCATCTATGAATAAAGGTCGACTGATGGAATGATTGATACTTATTTAAGGTGAAATTTATTCAAAATACTGCAGCTAGAGTCATAACTGGAACCAGGAAGTACCATCACATTAGTCCACTTCTCAGATCAGTGGCTCAGAGAGTAGACAAATCTCTCCACGGCCTCGCACCGAACTACATCTGTGACATGTTAGTGCCATATGAACCAACTTCAGGTTCAGTTTATAACAAAAAAAACTGGACAAAAAAACATGGATACAACATCGTAGGCATCTGCTGGTAGAGTTTGTGCTGGTCCACCCCAGAAGGGAGGGTTAAAAGAATGTACAGGATCACACCTAAGAAACCAGTACAAAAACGAGCGAGCTGAGATCAACGCTTCTTACAGGACATACTCTACCTTAACGTTAAACCCACTGAGAAAATCAAGATTCCACACTGCAAAAAGTGAGGAAAAATAAGTCAAAAATTGCTAAAACTTTACATGCCTGACAGCCTTAAAACAAGATTTGCCAGTGGAACAATGCAAAATTATCTTGTTTTAGAAAGATACAAGAAATTGTCTCTCTTGGAATGAGAAAATAAAGCAACAGTTCTTGAAACAAAACTAAATGGCTTTGTCCCATTGGCAAAACTTGTTTTAACACCGGCAGAATGAACTCAGATTAAGATAAAAACCACTCAAATCAACCAATTACTACCTCATATGTTATTTTTTGCAGTGTAGATACAATATATTATAGATAGACAGACACTTAATTTGACCAGAGAAGTGGCATTTACCAGTAGCAGCCTATCCAGCACATTGACTTTTTTATTTAATATTGTCTTTACTTTCTATATTGGCTTGTTCTCAATGCTTAGAAATGTAATGTAAAGTTATTATATGGATATAAATGCATTCACACAGAAGACTAGGCATGTGGCGTCAATAGATTGTGTTCTCTACGGGGACCAAAAGTTGGGTCATGAGTAAGAAGCTGGAGGATTGGCCTTACATCTGTGCTTTATAAATATAGAGATCAACTGAAACCATCGAACTGATTCTGGAAAGGGCGCCACGCTATAATTAGATCGAAAAAAGTAAACGAGCAAAAAGTGGGCACAGTATATAGACCATATTTGTGGATATTTACATTTCTATTCCCACTTTCCTGCACAATATAGATGGATTCACACACCAAACGGGGAAAAATATCTCTGTCCTGATTTCTGCGTTTGATCAGCTGTCTGGCAAAGATGAAAGATGGCGCCCCCGCACACAGGCGCGCTTCCTGTGTGTACCCAGGCTTAAAAACTCACACACACAGACGCAGAACACAAACAGGTCATGTGTGCGTGTGTGTGTGTGTGTGTGTGTGTGAGACCCAGGTGGTCCGCTCCATTAGAAGTGAGCAGAATGAGCATCAGTGCTGATTAATGCAACAGCCAAGTGTTTAGGACCACTCCACTGGGACAGCACAGGGGGAGACTGCTCTACACACAGGAAATACACAATACATGTACTCGTTTCACTACACTGTCCAAGGATACTAGCATTTTAACATTAATACTAGATCTCCCAGAGCAGTACATTTGACGGCTTTTCCTCTTGGGGGTGTACTTACTCTGGTTATGTACGTTTTTGGTCTCTATGTTGTGAAATTTTCAGTTTCAATATGTCCAGTGCCTTGCGAAAGTATTCGGCCCCCTTGAACCTTTCAACATTTCGCCACATTTCAGGCTTCAAACATAAACATATTTTAAAAAAAAAATTGTCATGAATCAACAACAAGTGGGACACAATCGTGAAGTGGAACGAAATTTATTGGATACCCTATATGTACTTACTGCCTCAAGAAAAAACCTTAATAAAAAACCAGACTTCAGCCAGTGTTCTCAAGTTCTAACCCAGGAGACTTGGTTTAGTCACCCCAAAACACAGCTCCTGTCACATTAAATTATCGATCTTTCACTTCTTTTCTGACTTAAGATCAACGGGCCCATGTAAAATGTCATGTTCAGTGTTCAGCAGTCCTGCCTCAACAGAAAAAAAAAAAATTTATAAGATAAAGATCAGATACGGAATTCCTTTATTCGTCCATCCCCACATGGGGAAATTCTATGTTGCAGCTCTAGGACATTCGTAAGAGCACACAGGGAGCACCACAAATTATTACAAATAAAGTAGTAGCTATGTTTACATAGACTAACCTAACAAGCTGTAGATGTGGACAAGGCCTTCAGTACCAGTCAAAAATATTATTATGTAAGTAGTAGTACTGTAGTATTACATTTAACATCGTGCTAACGGATATAAGTAGATAAAGTAAAGTGACAAAGTGACATTTTCAGCTATGTATGAAAAGTTCGTTAAAATAAATCCTGGCAGAGTTGAGCCAAAATTGTATTCTTCCCAACCCCCAGACTTTCCATACTTCATAACTGGACACTCGGGTCATACCTAATGTAAACACAAGGTTAACAAGAAAGTATATGACTAGTTTAAAACTTGTCGTTCACTATGAGACTCTGGAGAACATAAGAGCGTAACGCAACTCTAGGTTCCTACGCACTTAGGGAAAGTGAGAGATGAGGGATTTGGACCAGACGGTTACCCAGACCTAGCACATATCCCGAAGCAAGGGTCCATGTTTTTATTAAAGGCAAATACTGCTACATCAGTACCAAACATTGTTTTGATTACAACGTAATCCAACAAAATGCATATGGCGTTATATGAAAAAAAAGGATATTCAGGTTTTACCTTCAGGAGAATCCACATGGAACGTCAGAAGAATGGCAGTAGAAAAGAAAGAGGAGAAACAGAAAATGTTAGAAAAATAAGACATAGCAATGTATGACATTATTCTTCATAGCTAACATTTGATATAAACATTTAAAACCAGGCAGTACGCACAAATTGGGAGACAGCTACCTTTACAAATTGAAATGAATAAACCCTGGTCCCTCTAAACTATAGCCCTCGTGGTCAGCCCACACGACTCAGTACCTGTGGAGGCAAAGCTTCGTTTCTTGAAGTAAGAATGAAATTATAGTGTGCAGAGCTCCATGTTGTTTTGAAGTATTTGTTTATCAGACTTGTGTTTACAGTTGTGGTTTTAAAGGCTGCCATTCCACCATTCATTCTAAAGATATGCCAATCAAATGAGTTAACCAATTTAGTCTGATCACCTTAGAGAAAATAAAACAGATCATATAAGAAGAAAAACAGGATTCCAGATCATGCAAGAAAACAAGCACTTGGAGTTTTTAATAATTGTTGGAGTTTTCTTATTCAGTGACATGTATAAGCACCGGATCCCTTTGTGCACTAAAGGCATGTACCTTTACCACATGCTGTCTATGCAACAATCTGAAAATGAACACCAGCACATTACATGCTGCTATGATGCCGCTATTTTTCCGGTCAACGTTTTCTGTGCACTATGGCTAGGACAGGAAAAAAAAAAAAGGAGTAGACTGAGCGCTCAAAAGCTTTGCTAACGTCATCGTAGGCCGAATAACGTTAAGTGCATCGCTGTGTGTAATTTTGAGGTCACATTGGAAATAAAACTAAAAATAATGTTGCATCGGCTTTAATATAGTGCTTTTTGGACTCTAAGGACACTTCCATGGGCCTTATTAATTCACTCCAATATGCAAAGGGTGATCCTACTAACCTAGCTCCAGTTGCCCTTGACAAAAGACTAACAGAAGCATCCCAGGGCAACAAGTAATGATATCAGCCCTTCAGATTACACCGCCTGTCATTCACTCACTTTAAAGTAGATTCAAGATTCCCGACTAACTTTGTATCGTCATTTGCAGTAAAACCAATCTAAAAAAGATGCCAAAATTTCCAGATGTGTCACCACGAAAAACAGAAAAAGGGACAGAAAAAAACACTGAAATCAATCACCAAAGAGTTTCATTACAATGTAGCAGGACCATTAAAGTTGATTTGTTCAAACTGATAACAACTTGTGGAAAGAAGCTGGTGTTAGCAAAACAAGATTTCTGAATCCAACAAAACAATATATTGTGCCAGAGGAAGAAGCTGGAACATGGCTTTTAGTCGGTAGGCAAGAAGAGTCATGGTCTTACATTTTGCAGGAACTACATTAAAGTGAGTGAAAATGACTGTCTCAGTTTCTCTTTGTCTGTAATTATGGTGAGCATTTCTCATACGAGGGAACAAGTCATGTAACCTAGGTGGCGGAGAGTTGCTGGAGACCCTGCCCATGTCGTTCACTGAAAGTTATAAGTACAAGATAATTGAGCAATCTGTGGAGATTAACGTCACTCCTAGAAGAGGTCCAGGAGGTAGAATAGCAGTTTTACCACTCATAAGAAGATAAAACACATTTCTCCACAACTATCACAAAATACTCCAAGCTGTCCATAGATTTGATGCACACCTGAATGAAGGACAACTTCTAATCAGGGACCAGAAAGTTTCCATAGTTACAGTGTAAGCTTCATACAACCACCTAAGAAAGTGAAAAAGTGAGTGGAAATGTCCGCGTCACATTTTACCCGGTGTGTGTAAACTGTATATA